TTCTAATGCTTCTTAATTTCTAGATACGAGGAGCCAGAAACAATAAAACGAAAATGCTGGTGTTGTGTGCTAATAAGCAAATAGAAGACAGATAACTAAAAGAACCTACATACAAACCATAATCTAGAAGATACTAGAAAAGCAAAAAAAAGAGAAATGAAATAATTTTTTTACAATGAACAGAAATAAAGAGTCAAAAACAAGGAAGATGCATATAATTTCAAAGGCAGTAATATTGAAGGATCCAACAATGAATCAAATAGGATATAAAGTAAGTAGTCCAAACGAAGATATAAACAACAAAGGGCCAGAATATAGGAAACCCAGAACGATGCCACAAAAAGGACCTAAAAACAAGACAAAATCTAGAAGACGATTAAACAAAGAAAACATCTAAAAATGCAGAAATAAAGTAGAGGATACTAAGAAGATACTTGGTAAGGATACAAAAAAAAGTACTAAGAAGTAATAAATAAGCAACTTTAACACCCGTAATCATAACAATAAATATCAATAAGAAACGGCAACAATAACAATTAGTAACTGTAAATATGATAACAGCAACGAATCATAACTCACTTAATATAATCGAAGAAATCAAGATATTTAAATGAGATTTTGATCGGCAGTGCCCATTTAAAAACTACTAGAACCTAAGTAGTATCACAGTCAAAGTGTAATGTATTCTTGAGTATAACCGAGCAGATATCAATAAATGCAATGTCAATAATGTTTAAATGTCTCATGTCTGAAGGATTAGTAAGCGAAGTTGCTCGTCCCACCACCCAACTTTTTGTTTGGCCATCAGAAATGAGTTGCTATCCTCACACACGCTTTACCGGTGAGACTTAGTTCAAAATTGACTTAGTTGTGCATGCCCGAGTAGTTTAATCTTTTCATACAGCTATCAACGAGAGCCAGCCCTCTATCTAGAATAATTTTGTATTAAAACCGTGAAATTAATGCCAATAGCAAATACTTTTACCAGAAATACTTTACACTACATACTCAGGCTGTGAAATTGCTAAGATTTTTGTGTTTTCGCTAACGATTTTCACATTGAACAGACAAATTTGTGCTAAGATAGTGTTTGGCATTTTGGTAATGAAGTGGTTTTTTCCTTCACCCTGCACAAATTGCGCCCCGAGGAGTCTTACTTCTGTATATGTCTTAGATATAATTGATAGACAGATCTAAAATTTTCAGCTCAATTGTGTCAATATTCATGGTTTATTTCAATATCAATCCTTCCGTACAGGAGAATAAGAATAATATCTATCTAGAATAATTTTGTATTAAAACCGTGAAATTAATGCCAATAGCAAATACTTTTACCAGAAATACTTTACACTACATAGTCAGGCTGTGAAATTGCTAAGATTTTTGTGTTTTCGCTAACGATTTTCACATTGAACAGACAAATTTGTGCTAAGATAGTGTTTGGCATTTTGGTAATGAAGTGGTTTTTTCCTTCACCCTGCACAAATTGCGCCCCGAGGAGTCTTACTTCTGTATATGTCTTAGATATAATTGATAGACAGATCTAGAATTTTCAGCTCAATTGTGTCAATATTCATGGTTTATTTCAATATCAATCCTTCCGTACAGGAGGATAAGAATAATATGGCTGTATTGTCCTGCATAAATCATAAATTGTTAAAAATATCCATAAATATATGCTACCTAGTTTGAATATTTATATATTTAGGTTTTTTCTGACAACCAAACCCAACCCATCATTAGAACGATACGGCTTTAACTTCAATTAATCCTAACACATTTTTGATTGAAAACCTTTTTAGTAATTTAAGACCTTGTATTGTTCGTTCTGTTTTTTATTATATTCTAAGTCTGGGTCGTCAACATCATAATTTTATTATATCGTCAAGATTTTTATTCGAAGTTGATGCACCGATAAAACTAATTGAAGCTTGATGTAGACGAAAATTAATGACATGCCCACAATGAGAGCAAACAAGTTTACGAGTTTATTTACCCGTGACGATGTAACGGTTTTGATTAATGCCGTCGTTCGATCGCCGTCATCGTTTCGCTCAAAAATTGTGTACATTGCTCTTTGAGGGCGCCACTATTCGGGGCCCATAACGTTATTATGGGCCATAATGCCTAAAGCTATATGATATATGTGCTTTTAGCATTCCCACTATCGACAATATTTCTCCATATTGCTCGTTACTCTAAACGCGACATTTATACGTTGGTTTATAAGTTGTAAAGCATATATACACATATAATCGTCCCGTGATGTTTATATAAGTATTCATAAATGTGGCGAACGTGCATTACACTTAAAACATCATTACCACTAATAGTGTGATGTATAATTGTACATTTAATTCCATTTTATGCTAATGTGTTTATTTTATTATGTTTGATGTAATATCATAATTTATAAAATTTTGTAATGTGATGTGTCAATCTTAAATGCACAAAACATACAAATACGTCCAGTTGAAATACGATACAATGTCTTTTTCAAAGTTTTCATAAATCCGCTATAAGTCTAGGTAAATAAATGATTATTTGCCACATAACGTACATAAACAACTCTAGAACATGTAATTTTCACTGCGAACGTTCCAGAAAACCAATTTATATCCCTCCGATGTCGCCCCGTACGAAGGCAACTCGCCCTATAGAAAAGGAAGGAGCTGGATAGTAAGCGACCTTAATAGCGGAGATTCTGTATGAGCTACCGGAAACGAAACGAGTTACCAGCCGTTCGTGTTCAATAAAATCATTTTGCCACTTCCAATTCCCTCCGTAATGGGCCGACGACCTACCCTTAATTAGATGTTTTAGATCCCCGTGGGCGTTATGTTATGGTCAACGAAATCCGGAGATGACATATCGATCCAAAATGGCCAACGAATCCTTTGAGAACTTTCAGCTCAATGATTTTAAACTGGTTAAAGGCTTTAAGGTACGTTGAAAAAGCATATTCATTTGAAAAATAAGAGAAAATGAACGGAATTCCTTTAAAGGTTATAAAGGAAAATTTAATTACTTGTGTGAATACGTTGATCAATCAGAAAAGCGTTTTATATTGCTTTCGCTGTAAAGGGCTATTAACAAATTACCGAAAAGCGGACACCAGTAAAGCGCCACAAACACCTACTCAACGCAACCTTTTAGTAAATATTTAATAGGTTGGTACTCGCGCCCCGTTAATAATTAACAACTGGGTCGACGAAGAACAAATCCCTAAAACGGGTTAAGTCCCTGTTGGAAGTGCGTTATTTATGGGAGACTTAACGGAACGCAATAAAAGCAAGCGTTATATTACGGTACGAGGGGAATCAAATTTCCGTTCTCCGTCCGCTGGCGGAAAGCCGGCGCGAGGTAGACACAAAGGGGTAACAGCGAACTGTGCGAAACGTTCTGGTGCCTGCTTCAATCTCATCCCTCAAATGTTTAAAATATTGCTCGTAAAACACGTTTACTCGGGGCAACACCTGTTTTCCCATTATGCACGTCAACCTTAAGACGATATACTTAAGAATCTTATCTTGGATAACATTTTCTTCACAGATTTTGTAAAATCATAATTACAACGTACCTAACACTAGACCTAGAACTAGAATCATTCGGGTTTAGCCGTACGTCTCTTAAGACGGCTAAACCTGAATGTTTCTAGTTCTAGGTCTAGTGTTAGTTCTACTTTTAGCTGTTATTCAGTGCTAGATTATTATATATTTTTATTGAACTAACAGTAGAACTAACACTAGACCTAGAACTTCAAACATTCAGTTCTACATACAGTTCTAGATCTAGTGTTAATTCTAGTGCTAGTGTTAGTTCTAGTTTTAGTTGTTATTCCGCCCTAGATTGTTGTAACTAACTAATTATTCGTTCAAACAGTTTAATGTGCAAATTAAAAATATTTCATGTACCGGATTTTTGGTTTTACTATATTTTGTTTTCTAATTACATCGCTTCATCTAAAGAAAATACAATTTCTTACAATTTTCACAGTAAACACGTTCGCAACGTTTGATGGATAACTGTTTTCGTTGAAGCTGAATGGCTCCATTCAGTAGATGTTTTCTTCAAGCTAACAAAAGACTCCAATAACGGCGTTTGCACCCCAACGTTGAACATCTTTAAAAGAAAAACGGACGCAATAATGACTCCTGTCAGGTAATTATTAATTGACATAGTCGGGTAAATCGAAGGTGTTGGAGGGTTGAAGACCATCACGATCCCGAGAGCGCAGCTCGGTGTGTGAGTGACGAGTAAACTTTACGCCCACGCAATACGCACATTCTTCTGTCGACTTTTCCGCCTTCAGGTTAATGAAACTATATATCACCGGAGCAAACCAGAACGGATTTCGTTACGTGGGCACGACTGAACCCCGAGGGTAACAGTAATAATTTAAGCATGCCTCTTGAATTAGGGATGGTTCAGCATGCGATTCGAGCAAAGATCGTATGCAAACACATTTTATAGTACCCTTTAGCATGCACACGCTCTATTTCAAGAAATTGTTCTACCATTAGAGATTTGTTTTTGATGATTTAAAAAGTATTTAAAAAACTCAACTTTCAAAATCTATTATAATTTTAAATTACGACCACCAATATTTGTAGGAAGTATGGATAACGTTTTCTCCGCAGAGGGAGAACTTTCAGACTGCTTTTGGAGTTCCCGAACTTCTCGAAAGAGCTTCTACGTGTATCTTCATAAGTAATTTAAGTCAGTTGAACGTAACACAATTAGTGTCATTTCCCACAGTGTATGAACTCCTAGAGAAACCCAAACTTTGACGTCAACTAACCGTTCATATTTTATGACACCGTATAAATTTCATAATTTCATTTTAACAATTTATTATAAAATTAATGAATTAATTTATTTTATTATGATTTCTTTCTTAAAATAATGACTTGTTTACTCTGATATAAACACTTATCAGTTTCGTCACATTAATTCGAAGACTCACGAAATAAATGCTTAACATTTGATTATTGTTGTTTGCGCATTAAACACTATCTCGATTGTCAGTGTAACTCTGTGTTTTGTCGAAGCAGCATTTCTGTATTCCCAATTTATTTACTTATCAAATCGTAATAGTAAGCAACGTTTATAATATTTCGTTAACCTTGTATTTTAACTATAACAATTTTAGATTAAAAATGAACGAGACAGATTGGGATCACGATAATCACTTTTATATGGATTTTGTTTTATTAACAGAAGAAATATTGATTGCGGCTTCTGCTGTATTAAACGTTGTGGTTAACATGTTAATGGTGTGTTGTTTATTCAAAGTAGGATTGAAATCGTCAACTAATGTTGGTGTGTTTAATTTATCATTATTGGATATAATACAACTTTTAAGCTGCCCTGCTATGTATAAAGTTTTCTCCAAAACGCACGATGTTTTAGAAGTATTTGAATCGTATAGTATTTTCGCAAATATATATTACAGTGCAATGGTTGGAATATTAATGTGTTATGGACTAATGATACTAAAAAGGCATATACCATACCTTGAGAAAAAGTTTAAATTTTTTATACCAGGAGTATGGGTAATTATAGTTATTAAGTGTGTCGTGGGATACATTAGATACAAGAGGTATTATGATACACCCGGATTCCTAGAAATTTATATCTTACTGTCCATTGTATTATTTGTAATAATAACCATAGAACAAATAATTACTACTCTAAATTGGGGCAGTGACATAATATTAGACCACAAAATATCAATAGTACTTACTTTGTTTTTTATTAGTCTTCGAATATGTTTTATTATAATTCTTAGTTTTCTTGGACATTTCTTTAAGCGTTACATACACCCACAAATTGTTATAAGTTTAATTAACTTTAATGCTTCAGGAAATATAGTATTAATGGCTTATATGGATAGGAAATTCAGATATGCTTTATATGACATTTTAAGAATTAAGCGCATTGCACATAATAATAATGTAAATTTTGTTAATTTACCTGAAGAAACTGTAAATATATTAGCAGATGAATAAATAAATAATTTTACAATGACACTTGTTGTATTATTTCATTGTATAGGCTTTTAATGTAATAAGCTTTTAAGCCAAAAGTATTGGCACTTACGATAAGAAATATGATGTACAGGTGTTATAATTTACTTAAAGTAGAATAATCAATAAATAATGAAAATGTAGCCGATTATTATAGTGGTGGAGATTGCAATCTTAAAAAAATATAGAAAATTTTATACATTTCAGCATGATTTTTTACATCAACATTAAGCATTTCAGGATGATTTTTATATTTTCTTGCCTATTATTATGTCACATTAAATATCATATATAGTCGAGATTAGGTGACCGTTGCATACCAGAAAAAAATGAGACAGGGTTATTAAGAGGAATTTATCAGTTTGATGCGTAATTAATTGTTTAATACAAAGCCACAATTTTATTTTTCAGCTTTTTTTGATCTTCCATATTACCCATTTCCTTTGTTACCTTCATGTATTATAATGTCGTTTGTGCAATCTCATAATGTGAACAAAACACTTAAAAAGTATGGTAACTTGTCGTTATTCGTTATTTTTGGAATTAATAAATTCCCACAATTAGTATTAATAAAAGGAAATATTTTACTACTATATATTTTAATTTTCTTCCGGCATATTTATAAATTTCACAGTTCCTTCCGCAGGATATAAATTAATTTTAAATAATTCACATAACGTAAATTTAAATGTCTTGTTTCCATAACAAAACATTAAGAGATTTAACAACGAATTGTACTGCATAAGTCCTATTCCTATGTTACCAGCTAAATCCAATAATCTAAATAATAAATCAGAAATATATACAGCCAAAATTAGTATTACTCTAATCGCAATGTAAAGTATAATTAAAATGATACACATTTTATGATAATCGGATTTCTCGTTATCAAGACTTATCGTAGTAATTATTTGGTCTATCAATAATTGAAAAATTAACATCACAAGAAGGATAATATGCACATAGTGATATAAAATTGTATAATAGTTATGTGCTGACAGAGTATAAGTTATCGTAAATACTAAACTAAAAATAAATAATATACTTATAACAATGTAAGGAAAATATTTGTTAATTATCTTAAAATTATTTTTTTGTAACATTAATATTAAACATAAAATATGTCCATACATAGCGTAATAATAAAGTGTTGAGACCACATCTTCCACATCAATATCTTTAAATGCATCGTGAAGCCCAGAGACTACTTTAAACAATACTCTACAAAAGATTTGTTGAAAAATATCCGTGAATATTAAACTAAACAAATCGATATAAAATATCGATGTTCTCAATTGAATCTTAATTAAACAGTACAAAGCTATTAAGTTAATTAAAAAATTTATAAATACGGAAATTGCTATCCAAAATTCTTCCGCCAATAATCCAACAACAAATTGAGAAGATGAATTTAAAATCATTTTAAAATTTTAATTTTTTAATCTAGAAATCACAAAGATGTTAACCGTTTAACATGCGACTGTTATGTTGTTATCGCTTACATTTTATTTAAAACAGTTCAAAATATTAAAAATTTTTGATAATATAACCTATTTCTTTGAACTCGAGATTATGAAACTCGGTTACGAACTGCGCAGACATTGTATAATCGGTAATAATACACAAACAGTGGGAACAATTTAGGAGATGTTTAAATTTCAAATTAACCACTTGAAAATGTAATTGCTTTGTTTCCGGCGAATGTTATAAAATTGTCAATTTTTATGAAAAAAATTATTTAAACTAAAAATAATTTATGTTTGTTTATATAAATTAAAATATTTTGTATTGTTTTTCTTTTTTCTTTCCTTTTTTAACGGAATTTATAATTAATATTACTGCGCAAGTCACGCATTAACTTTTCCGAAGCAACCGCTTATTTTAAACTAGTCTGGAAAATTTTGTGAAATAGTTCAGTGCAAGAACAAAGAGTAAGTGCCATAATTTTAGTAATTTTTTTGTGATTTTATTTTTTTGTTTAGAATTTTACTTTTACAAGATGAATAAGACTTTCACCTTTGATTTGAAATCACTTAAAGATATTCCTGGAGAGGAAATTTGGGTAATGGGCTCTGTATTAATAAATGGATTATTAAATGTATTTCTTCTATGCTGTGTATTCAAAGGATACTCTAGAAAAATGTCCGAAAACATAGCAATTATAAATATAACAATCTTGGATATTATTCAACAAGCAAGTTGTCCCGTTATATATAGAATACTCTTAGGTGTAGGGAAAACATCTGAGGATATATTAGAAGAATTTACTACCCAAAATATCTTCGTCAACGTTTTTTATTGTTCTAAATTTGGCGCTATAATATCATTTGTATTAATTATTTTAAAGACCCGTTACAAATTTATCGAAAAAATTTTTGTATTTCTAATTTGTGGGATGTGGCCGTTTCTATTCGGATTAGGTTTCTTTAATTTTATAAGTGGAAATATTAACCTTTACTATGATACTTGTATACAAATTTATATTCACGCTTTTATTGTTCTATTTTTCATAACTTTAATAAACCAAATTGTAACCATAATGATTGACATCAAAAAAGTCAAAAACTGCGATAACTTGATGAATCTTCTTTATGTAACAACGCGAGGTTGTTTTATTATGATCGTGGCTGCAGTGGCTATCTTTCAAGGCGATAAAAATATACCTTTTACTGTTTACATTTGTTTGGGTTTCTTACAGTATACCACACTTGGTAACCTTATCATTTTGATTTATTCTAACCGAAACAGTCAGGATTGTTTACCAAAACCATACGATATGTATTCGTTATAAACAATAATAAAATTATTTGTGACATTTTTAACCACCGGATTTCGGACATATAACGGTTAAAATGCGTTTGCGGTTTAACTATCAATGTACGATAAAGTAGTGATATCAGTCGTTTGGAAATAATATAATCAATACAGTACCAATAAAGTATTTTAATATAATTTTTTTTATATAAAAGTTTAGAATAAAGCCCAATATTAATATTTAGTTGTATTATTGAAATCCTTTTTATTTGACCTTTTATATTGAAATTACCATTTCCAGTTACAATTTTTTATCGCTCCCATAGAACCGATTAATAATAAGCTGCAATAAACAAATTAAAAACAATCTAGGCTGGTTTTCAATCAGATCTCACATTAGTAGACAGCGTAATGCCAATAATATCACACCTAAATACAATAATCTAAATAGGATAGGATGAAGGAACGCAAACCGACAAAGCTGTTGAACCGTAGGTTACTGTGTCAGAGTTTCAATCAATATATAAGGAATCCTAAGAAATTTCGAGAAGCTGATGCAAGACTCCACTTTCGATGGAGCAAAACCATTGACAATGGTTTACCCATACCAATGCTCTTCTGCAAAGAAAAACATAAATGATGGTATATAAGCCGAATTCCTTTCCAATCGTGACTAAGAAAACTAAAGACTACCATCATTTCATATATTCACTAATTTTACATCAAGACATTCGAGCTGAAAAGTGACCCCACTATGTTCCAAACGATAACCAAGACGATTACTTTCTATTCACTATCTTAAATGACTAACGTAATGTAATTTAACACTTCAAACTGTTAAGAATCAATCAATTAAACGACTAAGTATGAAACTTGGAACCTCTGCTTTCGAACAGTCATTTTTTTAACACTTTTGTACTCAACACAACAGGTAAATGTTTAATTTCTTAAATTAATTGGTTACCTTCTTTTATTGACCGTTGTTTTTAATTTTAATTTGATCTTAAAATTATAATTATTTAAAAAAGTTAATTGTTGTAACGTTAGATTTGTTAATGAAATGTGATTATATAAGTTTACCAACAAACTTTACAAAATCCTTTCAATAAAATTACCTACCAAGGGTATACAATATAGCCTACTATCAGAATTTAGTAATTACAGTACGTAATCCTGCAGTATACGAAGTACTCGGTATCAGGGCAATAAGCAGAATCCCCTTGACGAAAACCGCTTTGTCCAACGGCCGCAACTTTATTAAAAACGTTCTATTGTTGAATGTTCCGCATGTTCTGTCGACACTTTATTACGAACGAACAAAACTCGACGTTCCAGGTTGACCTGCATTTGAAATTCGCATATTGGATAAGTTGACAGATGCAAATTTCTTCGCGCTCTTTCCCAACCCCGTGCTTTGAAGTGGCCTCTTCAACCATGCCTAATTTATTATGAATTGAAACATGTCGGGCGGAAGAATATGCTGAGCATATAACGTATATACGCTTTTCCAACAACGTCACAGACGCCTGCAGAATGTTCTGCTCCGCAAAGGGGGAAGCTTTGTATCCGAACCCATCTTTGCTGTAGAAATCGTGAAAGGTCCAGCAGAAGAGGATAGTAACCAGCCGGAACATATTTTTACTTATTTTTGTTGTTCTTTTTTTGGTTGGGATGTAATAACATCGGCATGCAAAGAGCTTTTCTCTATTTCATATTTTTCAATTATTTAATGGGAGAACCCGGCATTTTGATATTGATTCAAAGTTATCTAAAGGAATTTTTTAATATTTTTTCGTTTACAATAAAATAGCATAAAATATTATATTCATTTCTAAGCATATTATAGATAAAATTATATAAAATTTCAAACATAATACCACAAATATATTTGAAATTCAAGTAAGCGCATGTTCTAGTTAAAGAAACCGTCATTAATATACTATCAAATGATAAGTAAAGTAACTATTTCAATATTTAATGAGAACTCCCTATTCTTCTTACACTATCGGTTATCTCGATAACGAATATACCCTAGAACGTAATAATACGCCACTTCCATAAAGACGCATTTAAAATTTTATATTTTCGGGCGAAGTAAGACGGAGGAAACACAAAGCTTCTTTGACATTGGATCGAAGTACACGTCGACGTCGTCCCACCAACCGGTCTTCTTGGTCATGACGTTACAAGAGCGCACGTTTTATGTTCCATCTATCCTTCCGCCCGATGTGTTTCAATTCATTATAAATTATGTACGGGTCATGAGACCACTTCAAAGCCAGCAACAAATTTGCATCGGTTAGCTTATGAAGTATACACGCGCGTAGATATAAAATGCGGATCATATACACACGCCACCACACTACCACTTCAATAAATTTGGACGGATACGGTGAATGATATGACACGTGACAATACACGAGTTCCGCGAAAGTGTAATAAATAAAGACCGCCTTCAATACGGCGACGGCAACGTTCTTTTTCGTATTTTTCAGTCGGAATAACACACAGAAAGAATATTATATTGTCACTTTGTGTTACTCGTTTGACGCTCGATAGATTCTCGGTTCAATAGTTATTTTCTGTATTTATTCAATAATACCTCAATTGGTTGTGAAGCTTACTTAAGATTTTGGAAGTAACGAGTAATAAATCAGATTCCATTTCGATATAACCTGAAGTGACATATATCATTGATATTATAAGATATTTTTAGTCCCCATCAATGTACCTAAACTAAAATCAATACAGTAAACTTTCTTAGACCAATAATCTAGAAATGAGTCGATATAACCCTTGATATTAATTAAATACATACACAGAGAGCGGAAACTGTTTATTTAATATATATTAAACGTTCATTTTTACGTCTGTCATTCACAACTTCCTGGCATAGAAAATTAAATAAATACAAAAAAGGTCAATTTCATGAAATATGGTGCCGCAAAAGCAGCACCAGTTGAAATTTATTACCACTCATGAAAAAAAGCTCATAAAACACATTGAAAAATAATTTTTGAAATTTTTTTTAATTTGCTTTATAATCAAATTTTAAAAAACGGGTTATAGAATAATCCAAAACTCGAAACTCCTTGCATCGCTTGGACTCCACAACTTCCGGAACGAACATGGATAAACTTTTGAGTTTACGACGTAGACTATTTATTTATTAAAGGATATCAATAAATGAACTGTTAATTGTACTGTGGAATCATGAAAGTACCGCCTATTTTATAAAATTTGTAGAATCTTTAATATTTGTAAGAAGTAGATTTTTAATAAACCATCTCTTTGTGGTTCATGTTGAAAAATTCATTCAAAATACCTTCTTCAGTTTCCTAAATATTCTGTTTGTGAAGTTATTTTTGATTGTGACTGTAAGTGTATGGGTCCATCATTGTCAAGTCCAAAGCCCGAACAAATTAAGAGGATTAGACAATAAATTAACTAACCAGTTCTGTAAAAAAAAGACCTAGTTTAGAAACTTAACACGTTAAGCATGGGTGTAGAGTAAATTTTTCTTTCACTAAGCACGGCAAACTATTTTCATTGTATTTTATTTGGAAAAAAATTCTAATGAGCAGACGAATCTGTATGCTGAGCAAACTTTGTGCAATAAAAAGAAAACCAAAGGGCATGTGAAAGATTGTGTGCCTACTAATAATAAAGAAATGAAAATTTTTTTTAGGTATTATCGTGTGGATGGGATTAATGCAATTGCCACGTCTAAAGGCTTATTGGAGTATCAATATTCTATATTCCAATAAAGTGATGCCAAGAAATCGATTTGAACAGCTATTGCAGATGTGGCATTTCAACAATAATGAAGATGTAAGTTTTTGTAATGATAGACTCCGAAAGTTGACACCTTTGATGAAAAAAATAGCAGAAAGATTTCAAGAGGTTCTTACGCCCGACTCCTGTACATAAAAAACAAGAAACATAAATTTGGCATAAAAGTGTACAAGTTGGACACACATATGATTTCCAAGTGTACTGTGAAAAAGATAACCAAGGAGATGGCAATGCTTCTTCAAACGTTGTTTTATCATTACTAAAAAACCTTCTAGATTCCAGAAAGACAGTCTATACCGATAACTCTTACACCTGCGTTTATTTAGCCAGATAGGCATACACATCTTGTAGGAACCGTAAGAGCAAACAGAAAATTAAATTCAAAAGAAGTTTTGAATAAAAAAAATTGAAAAAACATGAAATGATAGCCCAAGAAAGTACTTGTGCTATTGTAATGCTAAAATGGAAAGATGTTCTTGATGCTCGACATTATTAATCAATAAGACGAGGGAATGAAAAAATGTGAAATTAAGCCTGTGTTTGAGTTTCAGCAACTTCGGCATACCATTTTAACGTTTGAGCTTACATTATAAGCAGTGAAATATCTTATTCTATACTTTGCTAAAATCAATGTAAATAGTATCAATCTGAACACTTTGCGAATGGGTTATTGAACACAATTTACAAGCGAAACCAAATTTGTTTTAACCAATTTTCAACGTAGAACCCCTTTATACATAAATTGAGGTTGAAAGTTATTGTGTTATATATGGTAAATTAATTTTAACAGAACGTCAAAAGGGGTTAACATGACTAAGAGATACTAAACCCTGAAAAGGAAAATACGCTAGAAAAATATCGATTAATTTTCCCGCCTACATCTGGGAGTATTTGAGAAATTGTTCACAATTTAGTAGATGCTTTTTTAGTTAAATTGCATCATATTTCATCTCAGTTGTAATCTTACTATCCATTTTGCCTTTTACAAACGACCACAAATGAGAACAAAATCAACTAGGAAATAATGTATGCAAATAATCAAATCTGTGGAATTTAGTTCTCAAGTTCATATAACAAATTTTAGAATGAATTAATATAATTTGAAACTGTAAGTAATGACGACTGATCTAAAATTTGCTTATATGTCCTCGCTATGAAATAGCCGGTAGTATCTATTGTCTTTCTTGAAACATTTTTTCTTCCTATTCCTAATTAGTATCGCGTTGAATTTCAAGATAGAAACTTGATCATAACTCTTGTGTTTTCATTATTAACACAATCCTGTCCCGAAAGGATTGCGAAACACAAGTTTACAGACTTCAGATCTTCATCTCACAGCCGACGCTCTTTAGTATGCCATTTTCTGCAAACAATCAAATCGATCCGCTTCATCCCATCACAACATTCCTTATTCGTATCGTTAACATCTTTTTGTATGGATTTCCTATTCATATCCTTAATATCTCTTTGTATCGATTTCAAATCTGTTCCAATTCTATAGCTGTAGGTGTGGATGAGGATGACGAAGGAGTAGGCTGGCCGTCAACAGCAATTAAGTAATTCACACTGAGCCATAATCCATAATGAGCCAGATCGCATCCTCTCGAACACAGTAGACCCAGAGATCTCGAAGAGATACACCTGTTGCATTTAGAACACTTAAAATGAATAATAAAAATGAGATGATTTTTTCGATACCCCTACCCAAGGATAATATGAAATTAAATATCTTGTAAGAAATACGATACTATACGAGACTTTTTAACACAAAAGTCTTCCCTATGCAGATATTAAACAACGAAAATACAGATTAAATGTTTGGATTTACGCTCCAACTTATAATGTTATTGTGTACTCAGCAGATAATAAAGCAGTAAACTTCGGGAAATATAAATTTGTATTTCAAAAATTAATTTGCAAACATGAGCTAATTATAACTGCCGCGTGTTTCATAATGCTACGAAGCATGATTATAAAACAAAGAGAAATTTTTCCCTGACTAATCGTTACCTCAATGTTGCAACCCTAAGTATATATCTAATACATAATAATGATTAAAATCGTCAAAATAGTTTCAGGAGCCCTATCAAAAGCTATTGGTGGAATTTTTGCGTGATTGCAATGCTTAATGTTTATATTCTTCATACATGCAAAAAAGTGCAAAAGCATTGTATATTTTAAAGGTGAACAAAGAGGTGAGGTGGAAATCTCCACGAATATAGCAAACGATGTAGGAGGTAAGCTGCAAGAACGCCGACAAACTGAAAACGTTATGTGTAATCTTAAACACGGAAAGCCTAATTTTTATTTATGTATGTATTGACATTATTAAATCTTGAAAATGACCGTTATTTTACATCGAAACCGCAAGAAATGATTTTGAACCCGTATTAAGAAATAATAAATTTGGTCACATTATTTTCAAGTTTTCCAAATCTTTTTCAGCCTTTGCAACAAAAGTTTAAGAATTATATATATTGTTATATATTCTTTTCTCGATGACCACTATACAAAGTACATTCATGACAATAATTAAAAATAGCCGCATCTATGAATGAAATTACGAATATGTTAACAATAATTGCAGGAATTAAAAGCTAAATTGACCAACTTAAGCTTTCAGTTTATAGATGTCTATAAGTTCGTGCACACGCCACACCACTCTTGACGTAACCAGATGACCTTGCAAATGTTTGTAAACAGAGTACACGTTGGGAGTGTTACACATTGTGCAGATCAAAATACACGTGAAAACGCAGGTAAAATTGACGAATTTATAACGAAAAGCTCACACATCATCCCATGGATATGATGGAGTTTCAGGAGATGACTGTCATCCCCGAAAATCCCGTAAACGTAAGTCAATAAAAATCCTAATCCACACGCTCGCTAGAAATTGTAACATTTACATCAAATTTCTTAAAACAATATAAAGAAGTTGTAAAATGTAATATTAATTTATTCAAAATGTTTTTGTTTCAATATGATGTTTTTGTTTCTACAATGAGGCACTTTTGGGTATTTTCTAGATTGCCGCGCATGCGCCTTTTAAAATATTTATGTAACTAATTATTGCGTAAAGTTATTTTGCTACGCTTGATGTTATTGTTTGATAATTTTATTCTGTGTTAATTTTTTAGAATTAGCCTTGAAATGTGTTGATATTTTTTAGATAGGTTTTAGATTTTTTTTAATCAATATATTGTAGAAGCCCGTATTCATTATATCTCCACTACTAGGTAGTAGATGGCGCTAACTCGATAATTCGTTTGTTTTAGTTTTTGTTTTAATGAAACCTCGATATAACAGATTAATACGGGAAAGGGAATCTTTGTTATAGTCTAATATGAAAATTTTTTAATTTGCAATTGAAATAATCTAGCGCTGAATAACTTGGCTAACACTTATAATAGAACTAGATTATTGTATATTGTTCATTGAACTAAAAGTAGAACTAACACTAGACCTAGAACTAGAAAGTTTCGGGTTTAGGAGTGCGTCTTCAGACGCACGGTTATAGCCGAATGTTTCTAGTCCTAGGTCTAGTGTTAGTTTTACTTTTACCTGTTATTTAGTGCTAGATGAATAAGATGAATAAAAATTAAAACTAGAACTACCGTCCTTGATTTATATATCGTATAAACAACTCGGGGAATAACTCGAGTTGGATTCTATCTATGAGCGCTAACATCTATATTTAAATATAGTGATGTATAAAATAGATACAATTGTAATATTAATAGTACGACTTAAAAATATTTTGTCCGTTACATCAGAAATTCTTTATATCGAGGTTTTATTGCACTTATTTAAACTTTAATAAAAATAGTGTAAACATACTACAAAAACTTAATTTATATCAAGAATATGAAAATATGTATTATGTAAATAATGTTGCCTACTCTGTAAGGAGTTAAAAATCGTATGAAACGTTGCTTGTTATTGACTGTTGATTTATAATAAAAAAAGCAGCATTAACCTACTATAGATAAGATATGGTTATATTTGCGACTTTCCACTACATATATTACGCACTATTTATGTTTATAATAAGTGCGTGACTGACGATTTTCGCTACTTCGTATAAATAAACACGTTATCAATTTATTAGTTTTAAGATATAAATAAAGTTTGAAAATAATTATAATAATTTTCGATGATTGTCCGTTCTTTAACATTCGCATTTATAGTCGGGATGCACCCGGCAACAAAGCGTTTTGTATGAGGTGGTTATCGACTCTCCGGCTTGCTCCTGCTGCTCGCCAATCCTGTAGAGAGGCCGGGTCGAGCCGTGAACTGCGCAATACCCTTCCTGGTCGGGCAACCACGTCGCATAAACACATACATTTCGTTCACTCTATATAGCTGTGTCGCATCGTATAGAAAACGTTTGTGATCAGCATACACACTTTGTCTATTGCGCCTTCAGCAGAGAGTGCCACTTGTGTGAGTGCGAGACGACGGGTGAGACCTTTAGCACCTCTTATTTTTAATTATTTTAGAAGCGTACGCCTAGTTTCATTCAACACTTTACTCTTCACTTTATAATGCGTTGTGTGAAACCTTTAATAAGCTATTCCATTCAAACGAATCCACCTAGATATCATTACATTTTTTTTTAACTTTAACACAATTTTTTATTAATAATTTAATTATTCTGTATTAATTGATTGAGTTGATTAATTTGTTTAACAAAACATTAATTTTTACTTAAATTCTAACATTTTCAGAATTTTTTATGTTTAATATTAAAAACCTGTAAGGTGTTAAAACGCAATTGAAAACGACGACGATGACGACGATACGACGTGCGTTTTAAAAATCTATCGTTCGACCTTGGCATTGTACCCGTTGTGGGCCGAGTAAAACTTCGGCAGAATAAATTCGTGGAATAGGTCGGGTTTTCTATATACCTATAACAAATCTTTCGTTTCGGTCGCAATTTCCCGTTTAAACTACCATCAACAGACTGACGTAAATAGCTCAGTTGAAAGCACAAATAACGGCCGGTCGCGAATGCGGAATCGAATCGTTAGGTAACAACCGGATAATTATTTCAAACGAGCATCAAGGATAATGGAGGGCGGAAAAATCTTTCCCATATTTTTATCTATACGTTATTATTCCATCTATGTACTTATAAATACAGGTGTATCTAAATTGATACGAAAGATTTTATGGGGTGATTTTTCAGCAAAAATTAAAGGGGCTTTAATATAACTTTTTGGTCAAAACCCCTTCTCCTCCAAGTTATAGCCCTCTAAAGTTAAGGGTAAAAATCTGCAACTTTCTTATCTCTTGACATTTTACAACTAACAAATTATTAGTTTGATCACTTCATTTCATTTGACATAACTTCATTTCTTTGACTAATAATAACCAATCTCTGAATTAATTCACCTGAGCTTGTGTATTATTTTATTTTTTTGTGATCAAACTAAGAATTTTAGGAGAAAATGTCGAGAGATAAAAAAGTTGCGTATTGAATCCCACTATTTAAATCAAGTTTTTAAATAGAAAAGTGTAGACCTATTAAAAAGTTCTAAAGCAAAGTATTATGGGGTTGATTTTTTCAGCCTCTTGTAAATTAGGGTTATAAAAATCGTCAAAAAATGTCACCTTATTAGTAATAGTTATCTGCCAAATTTCATCCTTCCAAATTCCTCCATAGTGGATTTATTAAAGAAAAACAATTTTTTCCCCTAATTTTAGAAGGCTATAACTTGAAGGAGAAGTGGTTTTGACCAAAAAGTTATGTGAAAGACCCCCTCAATTTTCTTTGAAAAATCACCCCTTAAAATGTTTCGCATCAATTTAGATACACCCTGTATAGTCCGCATTTTACCCGTTTGTCAGAAAGTTATATGATAATTTGTTACATCTGATATAACAAAATCTGCAAGTTAACTAAAAGAAAGTTTGTTGACTACTAGAAAAAGTTATATGAATATTATCTCTTCAGTTTCTGGCTTTTGTTGTTTAATAGGTTTTTCTTCTTTTTTAGAACATTGCGATTGAGTACAAGCTCATAGATTGCACTGTTCGGATGATTAAGTGCGTACTATGTTTAAAATAAAGGACACAATAAAGTCACTTGAACTACGTCCATGGCCAGGTTGCGCAAAATAACTTTTTTAATTCAACAAACATATTACGCATTAGGATACTCTACGTTTCTTCTCAGCTAACTTGACGGTAGATGGTGTAAACTCAATATTTTTATGTAGAAAAAGTATTGTATTGTAGCACTGAAATTGAAAATGAATAAATTTAAAATGAAAGTTCCATTTAAAATTGAATAGAGATGCATTAACAAAAGTTTGTGCCAAATCAAAGGCAGAAAAGAGAGAGATTAAAAACATTTAGTAACATTAGCAAAACTAAAAAGATCTAACCCAATATACAAATTTCTTCTGAAAGGTTTATGAATGAAACGAAAAACGTCTAATTAGATATAATTGAAAAAGAATCTGAGGTCCTTACTATGTTTAGAAATTGAAAGCTATAAATGATGTATAATTACTAAAATTATGGCAATCAAGTAGATTTCAAGCTAGATATCCACTTCCTATTATGTCCATTTTTTTTTTGGCTTCAAAATCTCTTTCCAGCTTTCTCTTACACAGCTCCTTTAACCATTCTGTCTTTGCTCAATATCTTTCTTCTATTACCAATCTCTTTCCAGCCGTCCCCTTCTGTGTCAATTCTATTGCTTGCCTTTAGACTTCCTTTTTTGTCTGTTTCCTCTTTACTTTGCTACCTTTCCAATCTATTCTTCCTCAGTCCAGTCTCATTTTTCTCTTTCCAATTTTGTTCAGCTTATTTCTTTCATTACAAGTATCTTTCCATATCTATGTTAAGTCTATTTTTTGTTTTTACAGTCTCTTTGTAGTCCTTTCTCTTTCCAGTCGTTACTCTCTCTATTCAACTTTCCACTTCTGTGTTATGTCTAAATATTACTTACCTTTACACTTCTTTTTATGTCCGCCACCTCTGTCCGTTATTTTATTGCATCTGTCAATCTTTATGCAATCTATTTCTTCTATTCCCAAACTTTTTCAAGGGTATCTTTTCTCAGTCAAATCCCTTTATTGCCATTCTAATCTCTGCAATCTCAGTTCGGTTTCATTCTTCTCCTTCCAGTTTTTGTTCAACTTCTTTCTTCTATAATCAGTATTTTTCTAATCTTTCTTTTAGCAGTCTACGAACTATCATCCCTTTACAGTCTCTCTCCTGTTTCCCTTCTCTCTGCTCAGTGTTTTTTTCTTTTTTCAGCCCCTGTTCATTCTCTTGTTTTTATTATTCCAGCCGCCTTCTTCTCTGTTTAATATCTTTCTCTTCTTTCCAGCCTTTGAGCAACTCCTCTCTTTTATTACCAAAGTTTTTCAAGTGCTCCACTTCTCAGAAAAGTCAGAAACGTCAGAAAAGAACTGTAGAGTTCTTTTCTGACCTTTATAATCTCTTTCCAATACTCTCCTCTCTGTCCAACTAATTTTTGGTTTTCTCCTCTATTTCAGTCAGTTTCCAGTTTGTAGTAATACAGATTTCTTTTTCTCTTACTCCTCTTCTTGCTTTACAGTTTCCTTCTAATTTATATTCAGTCTTTTTTGCTTATACTTGTCATTATCCAATCGTCTTCTTCTTCTCTCTAGTATTGTTCTTGCGGGTACAATTCGGCTTTCTTCTCTTTAAAATTTCTATTTAAACTTTTTCTTGTATTACCAGTCTTCTCTTCAGTTCATTTCCTTACAGTAGTTGTTCTATTTGTTTTTTTTTCTCTTTGTTTTCAGTCTTTGTTTGGCCTCTTCTATTGCGTGTCACTTGTACAGAAGTATCACTATCTCGAATCTTTGTTTATTAATTACGTCATCTGCATAGCATTCCTTTTTCTGTATTATAGTGCTATAGTTAGCATTTCTGGATTTAGTTCCCAGCTGTGCAGTGTTATTTAAAGTGTTATAATGAGAATCCGAAACTTAATCGGAAATCGAAAATGAATTTTCATCTCATCATATTTTTTTTTATCACACTTCTTTTTTTAGTATACAAACAAAGAAGCAGCACTTTCAGAAGTAATAAATTCATATTTATGCCATATTTAATTTTATACACATCTGTAGCCAGACGATTTTACTATCTATATGTAAATTCTAGGTATAAAGTTCCATTATAATATTGTTCAATCGCTAAGAGAAAGTAATACCTGCATAACACAATGAAGATTGTGCTATATAACTTTGTAGCGAATGGCGTAGAAGTTGATCGATACCTTGAATTTGCACACTTTTACAATACGTAGATCACTCATTAAGGCCAAGGACGTCTCATTATTACGATGATCGTGGAATAATTAAAAAAAAATACAAACTTAGTCGGCGTCAAAACAAGTCTACCGCCCGTTATTGTTTCCAGAAACTCGGAGTTGGTTATATTTAAACCTGTCTAGTAAGAGTAGCAGACTTTTGCATACCTGTCTGCGATTTCCTGCTTAGATGTAATTATTGAGGTAGGCTGAGCCATCGTTTTCAAGGTTCTTTAAATGCGCAGAACATCTATCTTATGTACCGTTGCTTCCAAGAACTCCATACAGCGTTCGTTTTATTGTAAATTTTAATTATGAATATGCGCGTTTTGAATTTATATAGCCGGAATAACAGATCGTGTTGACGAAAATACCATTTTATAGATAACAGTTACTATACACACTGGCTGGATTTTGATAAGAAAGAAGATAGAAATTGAAAATGATTTCCGGATAATATTTGTTAAGTGCCTGTAAAAAAATAGAAAATCGCATAGTAATGTTATTATCTTATCAGAAAAAAACCTATTTTTGGTCAATATTGTAAAATTTAAAAACATTGGTCAATCATATACTCACATTTTGGCGATAATTAGCTAGGTAGTGGCACCCAAGGTTACATTTGTTTATCTATTATTTTTATATTACCTAAATTATACTTAAATATAAATGTTGATACAACAAACTGTTTTTTAATAGTTAAAAGTAATTGCGTATTCCATGTTATTTATAAATATAACAATTCAAGCCTACATATTTGCCTCATCCAAACAGACGTTATATTATTTATGGTTTCTAAAATAATCAATAACGCGAACAGAATTAAGGTCAGTGTCCTTACACATGTTGAAATCAGAATTTATCAATGCGCATAAAAAATTAATATATTTTACATGATTTTAATTTATAGGAGGGTCCTCATAGAAAGGAGTCTGGGAAAAGGGGACGAAAACCAGGGAGAAAATCCAGTGAGAAGGTTGATATGAAGGCTAAACTGGGTACATTTATTTTAAAATATTTAATATTCTAATGGTTTTAATATTTGTTTTCATTTATTTATTTTTAGAGCGCAGTAGACAAAGTGCTCGAGAATGTAGAGCTAGGAAAAAGTTAAGGTATCAATATTTAGAAGAATTGGTAGCTGACAGAGAAAAGGCTGTGCTTGCTTTAAGAAAAGAATTAGACAAAGTAAGTACATTTCCTTGTTCTTTAGATATATACTAATCTATTTTAATTTTTTTTTGTTTAGTACCAGAGCTGGGCTAAAGAAATAGACGCTGGTCATATCCCAGAAGGAATGCAAGAAGAAATTCTGGACGACTTGGGCAATCTAAAACAAGATTCTTAAAAAGAGAACCACAATTTCAACCTCTTCTATTAAAATATTTTTTATTGTTAAAAAAGTATTAATTATTTTATTTTATTCTTATTGGGTACAGTTTAAAGTATATATTTTTGTTAAAATTAACTATAAAATAAATGTTTTTAAAAGATGACAATTACTAATATTTTCTGCTCCATATTGGATTTTAGTCGAAAATTGGATTATTTGAATATATCCTTAATTGTATAAATCTTATGTTATTTCTATCTCATTTACAGAAATTAATTCAAATAAATCAGTTTGAAAAGATTAAAAATATTGCTATTTTATTATTAACGGATTGGGATCAGTTGCTTTTTTTGCAAAATATAGCGCTAAAATATAAGAAGGTTTGCACTACATTGTTTCTAATTCAACTTTCATCATCATCCCATTGACACTATGGTCCTGTAAGATCCTTAACCCCCCGGACAATTTGTCTTCATTCGTCGTGATCCTGTACGCATCTTCTCCATCCTCCATCATCAGTTCCTCTCTGAAACAAGTGTTACCTCTTCGCTGGTACAGGTCCGTACAACCATAACAGTACTAGAATGGTTTAATGAGCAAATAAAGATCAATAAACCATAGTCAGTAAAATTTGCTGCCATTCCAAAATCAAGATTTAAGTATTCATTATGAGTTTGACTTAACTTCTGAAATGTGATAAAGTGTAAGTAAAACCCCTATTAATTGTGTAATTAATTAACTCATCTGTGATGCATCTCCATCAGTCACATTTTAAGTCTTCAAAATCCAAAGAGATTGTCTAGGTAAGTCTGTTGGCAGATTCCTACTCCTTATTTTGTTATTGAAATATTTGTATGTCTTGAGAATAGAAAATATATACTATTATACTTATATAGTACAATTTAGTCATAATTTAAATCTTAATAACTAAAATAACAGAGTAAGCAAAACTACAAAATATATCATTGTATAAATCGGTTTATTTCTTATACCTAATTAACAAAAGCTTTAACTTGTTGTACAATATTAGAAAATTTATTTCCTTCAAAAAATAAAACTAATCGGAATGGAGTCATTTCAACATCATCCTCAGACCATTTTCCAGTAACTGATGTATCTGATTCTTGAGTCACATCAAAATCAAAACATGCTTTTGCTTCTTTTGCAAAAATTTCTTCTTCTGCATTTGCAAATAATATTTCACCTAAAAAACGACAGTTACACGCAAAGTTGTATTCTTATAACTTAAAATTACTTTTATTTTGTTTTGATTTATGCATTTTACAAATCATCACATAATAATCAAAATCATATGAAGAATCTTTCTTTTTAAACCTGTCTATTTCGCCCATTAAGGAGGTAAGTAAAGGATCCGCAATTTTGGCTGGTATATTAACATATCTTTCATTTAATAACAGACCTACTTTTTTATTGGATAGAATATCTTCAATTTCTTTCTGTTTTGATTCATCTGCATGTTCTTTTGATAATTGTTTGATTAAAGCAATTAATTGTTTTATGCATGGTGTTTCCTACGTGATGTAACATTAAATTAATTAATTTTAGCTTTGAGAATTTCATAATATTACCTTATGTGACGATATATTTATCACACTTGTTATTCCAAAAGCATCAGAGGACATATCATCATCACTATCATCTTCATCATCATACAAACTCTGAACTAACACACTTCCAATTCCTGTTTGGGCAATCACCAAATCAGCTAATTGAGATAAATCGATATGGGCTTTTAAGAATAATTGTTGAAGAAGTTGTTTTATAGCATGGAAATGATGTGCTTCAGGATTTCTTCCTTCAAAGTCTGCTTGTATTTCCTAAAATAGGAACATTTTGAAAAACTATACAAGGGAAATTATAAAATGTTACCTCTTGTCCATGATATCCGTCCTCATCCATATCGCTACCAGATTCCGATTCTTTATTTTTAATTGCACGTCTCTTGGAGGGCCCTGCCATTATATCCCTGTTATCTATTCAATGTATATATTCAAATAATACACGTGAAAACCTCACTTATGAAATTGTGGTTATGTTAGGTTATGTACACCGATATGAATGAAGTTAGATAAACGATAAAATTCAAAATTAACGCAATTAATTTTGATTTTAATTAATAAACGCAAATATATTTTTTTTTAAACGTCTATATACAATATGTAGACAAAGTTAAAATCGTTTAATTTTATTAAATTTGGGATATAATTCTAATGGAATATTGGTTGCCTATATGAAACTGTTGTAATGTTTAAAATTAAAACTTAAAAATGATTTTTTTTTAATTTGTTAATGTTTTCTATGAATCTTTGCCATAACACGTTTTTAATTAACATATAAATGATGTTAAACAAACCTATTACTTTCCCGTTAATATAATAAACATAAAAAAGAGCTCGTTAAAAAGTGTCACGCTTCCTACTTTTTAAGCCCACATCTCGTTATGTATGTATGAGCCTGAATTTTCAGACACACGTAATAGCAAATGCCGTTAACTGGCGATTTACTCCAGATACTCGGCTTCGGGGCTCAGTTTTGAATACAATTTGGGTCAGTTCGTATCGGCGACCACTTTTTCTTAATATACCCAAAGAACGCCACTGGGTAATAAAACTGAAATTTAAATTGAAGATTTAACGAAGTATCTTGTTTACGCATCCAATTGAGAATCGAAATTAATACTTTCTTTCCCAGTTCCTTAAGTATATATACACGTTCTTCTGGTAAAGACCATCAAAAGGTTTAAATTTGTAGTGAAAAATAATGGATTTTTTGAATCATTTAGTTTGTGTATTTTTTCTTCAATGTTTATTTTCTGGTGAGTGTTTTAAATCATAGAATTCGAAATAATATCTAAGATTTTTTAGTTACAATAAATGCCCAAGGGGGTATCATTCCACCACTTCGTCAAGAAATTAAAGATGAACTCTTTCTTCACAACCAAAGCATCTCAAACAAAACCATGAGAGAATGCGTTTGGAGACCAGTAAATGAAAGAACAATCTGCCCTGATCCAGATTTGAAACATATTTTATATGCTGGCGGAAAGAAACATGAGGTTGACTTAACAGTTTCAGATTGGTTAAGACAAAGCGCATGGGATCCTGAAAAAGAGGATGTTATCATCATTCATGGCTACGCTGGAGGAGATGATACACTTCCAATAGCTGTTTTAAGAGATGGTTCATACTTGAAATAAATCTAAATAATTAAAAATATAATTAATTCTTTTAGCATACATTAATAATGGGAGTTATAATGTTTGGATGGTCGATTGGGGCCCAATGAGTCAACCACCATGTTATCCAGCAGCAGTTCATAACATCAAAGCAGTCGGGAAATGTACAGCAGATCTTTTCACTGAACTCAGAAAACAAGGATTGCGGACCGAAAGATTGATGTGTATTGGACATTCTTTAGGTATGCGAGCAAGATTATTTTCTAAATCAAATAATTGGTAAAATATTTTTTTAAGGTGCCCACACATGTGGATTGATTGCGAAGTATGTCTTATTCCGTATGCATAGAATAGTCGCTTTGGATCCGGCGAGACCGTTAATTCCTGCAAATAGCAGGTTGAATAGCGGAGACGCACACGCCGTACATGTCATTCATACCAATGCTGGCCATTATGGCGAAGCAGGAAGATCAGGACATGTCGATTTCTGCGTTAACGGTGGAAAAATTCAACCGTATTGCGAAAAAGCTGGATGTAAATATTTTAACAGTAGTTATTGGATATTTGTAACAGATTTTCAACGGATCTGTTATATATAAATATGTATATACCACAGAATTTAAAATTTTTATTTAGCTAATTAAAATATTTTATTATTGTTAATACCGGATTAGGTTTGTTAAACTATAATTCTAAGTTTTAACACTACTTCGATAAACTATAGGTAAAATATTTTGATCATATCTTGTGTCTAACGGGGTGTAGAAGTGATGAGAATAGTGATAGTCCAAGCAATTTTTGTGGACGTGCATTTACGACTCTTACTCCTATTCAATTTTCTCCCATTGTTTCTCGAATTATGTTTGGAAACATCTCCGTCACCATACACCAGGACTTTTAGTAGTCAAGCAGGATCTCTCCCAAATTATCTATATTAACCGCATTCATTCGCCGCATACAAACATGGGGTGATCAGGAGTATCAATTTGCACCAGCATTTATCGTCTTAGAGTTTCCTTATACCTCATTTTATATTCTTCTTGTTTATACCATAACTAGTTTCTTATTCCAGTGGTAATTTTTATATGCTCATCTATGAAACTGCCTCGATATGTGCTCATAGAACTCCTATCTGATGTATTATATGCCACCACTTTTTGATGCTGCATCCCTACCTCATTTATGATGTTTACACAAGAATCCTAGTTAAAAGCATTTTCTATGTTAACGAGAATCATTACACATATCGTTTGATGATTGTAACACCTTGCTTTTATGTTACCTACTATTTCTTTATTCTAGAGGTAGCATTCAAGATGGAACGACTAACTTTGGAGATATAGTATTGATCGTCATGTAACATCCTATTTTTTCGATTTGATCATGTATAGGCATTGGCCACATCACTTTATTTTTGGTTTTTCAATAAGCATCAACTTAGTTGCTTTCAAAGTCTTCATATTGAACTTTGGGCAATGATTATATTTTGCGTTGTTACTATTAATCTGAAAACTCAAAAAATTCAGGATTTATTTGATAATCTATGCCAACTTCTATACTAAGTAAAAACATAAAAAGCTATTTGTTCCCACATAAAGGATGATTTGCAATTTATATATGAACCTTTTCTTTTGTGATAAAATAAAAAATAATTCCCATATTACATTTTTATTGAATTTTTAATTATCCGCAGTTGATGAACAACTATGTAGCCATGTGTGGGCAGTTTGTTACATGGCAGAGAGTCTGCATCCAATTTTAGCACGTAGAGCAGAACCGTGTTCTAGAAGATGTCCAACAGGTCCTCGTCCAGGATTACGTATAGGAGTTCCAGTATACATGGGACAATACACACCTCTCACGTAAGTAATAAACTAGAATAATTTTTATATTGTACTTCTATAATGTAATTTCGAAAATGCATGAACTCACGTCTGCAAATTATACAAAACTTGGAACAGTAAAAATTGGAGTAACGGAACACAATCATGTTCCTACTGCAATAAATAACTTTCCAGACTTCATGTAAATAACGATTATGTAATTACCCAACTTCCCTGTTGGAAAATTCAATGCACTATTCTCGATTCTTGTATAAGAATTTTGTAAGAAGTCGTTTGCTGAATTTTTTATTTTTAGGACAACTGGATCATACTGCTTATATGGACAAGATCCACCTTATTGTCCAAAAGAACCAGGTGCTCCCGGAGATAAACGATGTTGCTTGTATCCTATTGTTTCCACAACAAATAAACCTTGAAATTTAATTTTAATTGAAATTTATTTGTAATTATTTATTATTATTTTAAATTTAAACAGTGAATAAAAAGTAAAAGTTATTTTGAGCGTTTTTATTATTTTGTGTAACGAAAATTTCACTAAAACAATGTAGTCCACAAGGATTTATTGTCGAAAATCTTTCACCCAAAATAAGCAATTGATGATACTCGAATAGAATATCAATAAACGTAATGAGTTACTTTCTTTTTTTATACTGGCACCGGGAAATTCGCTGCTTTACAGTTTTAATGTAATGGAGATTCATTCGCTTAACGGTTTGTAACAGATTAACGCTTCTCATAAACCTCACAAGCTCTGAAGGATGATAGAGTTTTATCATTTAAGAGTCGCGTGTGGTTTAGTGTTTCAAGATGATTGGATTAGATATTTTTATTTTTACATGTAAGTTATTTTAAGGAAATTGAATAAAATTTACTTTATTAGGAAGCTTAAATTATTTCTTTTAGTAATTATAATTATGGATTTTTCGATTTCTTATAAATTAACGTTAGGACAATGTGTAGTATACTATGAAGAACCTTGCCAAGTAAATTTAATAAGATTTGTTTTGTACATGCCCTCAACTACCTCAAGTAACTATAAAGTTATGTTGAATCCGTTCGAGCCGTTATTACCGGATGGATTTAATTTTTCTGCTCCTATTAAAATAATAATTCATGGATATGCCGGAAACGAAAATAACCCAGCAGTTAGTTCGATACCGAAAACTTATACGAGTGCGGGATATCAAGCTATTATGGGTAATTTTTAATAATTTATAGAAAAATTTTAAAAAAATAATCGATTTTAATTAGTTGATTGGAGTTCTTTGGCAAAAGCTCCTTGTTATCCCGCAGCTTTTTTGAATACTTGGCACGTGGGACAATGTGTAGCAATTTTAGCGGCTAGTTTATCAAGTTATGGAATTATGCCAAATCAATTCCACGCTTTAGGGTTTAGTTTAGGAGCTCACATCGCTAGTTTTGCAAGTAATCATTTAAAAAAAGTAATTGGGTTTAGTTTGGGAAGGATAACAGGTTCGAAACTTTATAAACATATTTTTTTATAAATGTAAATTTGAATTTAATTTTAGGATTAGATCCAGCATTGCCATTTTTTGCATCTCACATAAATGACTGGAAATTAGATCCTTCTGATGCCGATTTTGTTGATGTAATTCATACAAATGCTGGATCCTTTGGTAAAATAGAACCGATTGGACATGCTGATTTTTATGTGAATGGTGGTTCTACTCAACCGGCTTGTGAAAATAATATATGTTTGTATTTTTCGAAAGAGATTATAATTAATTAATCTTTTTTCTTTTAGACACACCATATTGTAGTCATATGATGGTGAATTTATACTATTCGGAATCAATAGTTTCAAAAAAATTCGTCGCAACTGAATGTCCTAGTGTGTTTGATTATCTTTTAGGTAGTTGTAGTGGAGCTAGGAAAAGATTGGCAATTATGGGTGAACACTGTGATTCGAAGTAAATATTTTTTGTTTATTGGGTTTGTTTAAAACTATGATTACATTTTTTTAGTACTCGAGGTATTTACTTTCTAAGTACAAACAACTTTCCACCATTTGGGTTAGGATGAAATATTTGCAAAATTATTTTGTACAAATATTGAAATAAAATTTTTAAATGATATTTACATAATTTTGTAATTACTTGAAATATCTTTGCGAAGTTAACCTTCAATATTATCCGGTTTTGACGAACAATATCTCTTTGGAAAGCTTAATCCTTAGCCAATACGTAATAAGTGTTTTGAATTGCGCTAAAATATTACAAAAGTACACGAAAATAACATAAAAATGATCTTTTTTAAGTGGTCATAACTCGAAAACGATGTACTCGATTATCAAGATCTATACGTCATTCGATTCGTCATAGTTTCTTCTATTGAAACCACAAAATCTCACTCTTTTACACTTTTGCTCTCAGATGAATAAATATCGAGAAAAATTCAAATAGGTGAAAATTACATGAAGTCGTGACTTTGCTTCGGTTTGTTGATTGACGAAGTTGTAGCAAATTTTGTGTTAACTAATTTCCCATAGTTACTTGAAACACATCTTGTATCAGTTGTAATTCAGGAAGTTGTTAAACAACACTATTAATCATAACAATAACATTAGACAACTTGGACACGACGTGATAATGCAAAAATCTGCCATTAAAACTTGTATCGAGTAACGTATAGTTGTAACCTTAAACCACTGACCATTTATAGAAAAAAATACTGTTAGGTCAATCGGACAATATGTGCATTTCCAATGAAGTAAAGAACTATGTAGGTCTCGTTTATACTTTTCGGACACTTAATGACTCGAATATGTGTGATCGATGTTTTATTTATTTTAATACTAGTAGTTTATCGGTTGCAAAATGACTGTGATGTTTATTTTTTGGATTTATTTGTTTTTGAATTTAAATTTTGGTAAGTTAATTTTTTAATTTTTCAACATGATTTAAAAAAAAATTAGAAATATCGTGACTAACCCTTTACGTGACCCTCAAAAGGTTAAATTTGGTGCATGCTTTTTTCTGCAGCCACTTTCGTATAATAAAGTACACATAACTACATTTATTTTCTTTTAGGTAACACGACTAATTTTAATGTCATAGAATTTAAAAACACATCGAGAACTGCAAGGCAAAATATTTTAAATTTAGGAATATGCAAAATTTTATTGAACAGGTACTTTAAAAATAATATAAAATAATCCACATTCTAAATCCTTTATTTATATAGAGATTGTCCAAACGAAGAAGTGAAATATTTTTTATACACAAGACGTCACCCACAAAATGCCGAAGAAATAACTGTAGGTCATAGTTTAGAAACATCAAACATTCTACAAACATCCTTCAGAAAAAACCGACCAACAAAAATTGTTATTCATGGTTATAATTCAGATATGTTCCTTAACGCTTTAATCGAAGTAAAAAATCGTAAGTATAGAAAAAGTAAAAATGATAAAATATTAACTTGACATAAAAATTATAAATTCATTTCGAAACCGTTTTAAAAGTTAACCTAGTTTTTGTGCCGGAAGAACACGGTTCTAAAACTTAGATAATAATTTAAATAATTTATATTGATGTAAAACGCATAGTATTTCAAAATTTTATCGACTACTTTATGTTAATTTTTAGAATACCTGATGAGGAACGATATGAATATCTTCGCGATAGATTGGGGATCTATTGCGCAAGGACCTTGCTATCCTGCCGCCGTTTATAATTCTAGAATTGCTGGAAAATGTTCTGCTTTACTAATTGAAAGGCTTAAAGAATTACATGTAGAGAATATTCACGTTATCGGATTTAGTTTAGGTGTGACACCTCTTTTAATAAAAAAAAGGCAATAAAATATTAATTTTTTAGGAGCCCACGTATCGGGATTTATAGCAAATGCTTTATTTCCTTATAAACTTGCCAGAATAACTGGGTTAGATCCCGCAATGCCGGGATTTGCAACAGTTCCAAACAGTCAAAAATTAGATGCTTCCGATGCAGAATTTGTTGACGTAATTCACACAAATGCTTTTTTTCAAGGACAAATTCAAGAATCTGGTCACGTAGATTTTTTTGTGAATGGTGGTGTAGTTCAACCAGGATGTTGGGCCGATAATAGTTAAATATCAACACTTTATTAAAATCGGATTATTATGAATTAATTTCTTTTAGGATTTTTAGCTTGTAATCACCACAGGGCGCCGTTTTATTATGCGGAATCAATCAATTCAGAAAACGGCTTTTGGGCTTGGCCTTGTACGAATTATTTTTCTTACCTAGCTGGACGATGCCCACCACGCGAACCACAAATTATAATGGGAGATTTAACAAAAAAAAGTGCAACTGGAATGCATTTAGTTATCACAGATTCGGTTTCACCATTTGCTGTTGGAAAATTTACTGGACCAACTATTGATATTTTTAAACAAAATATTGAAACAACCAGAATAAGTGATTATGAACGGTATAAACAAATGATGATAATTGGTTGTACTAACAATTATAACACAGGAGAATGTGATAATAATGTTGTCGACTCTGGAGATAATTTGCTTTACGATATTTTTCCATAATAACAATAAAAAATTTTGATTACTTTATTCTTTACTTTGATTACTTTTTGAGTTAAATCCCTCAAATTAATAAAATGTCTATCAATGCTATGTAAAAATTGTGAGTAACTTAAGTGTAGAGCACTCCAGTTAATCAGTTTACAAACATTTTTATCGAACAACGTCAACTTAGAAATTTGGGCATTTTATGGTTCATAACTAAAAATGCGAAAAAGTTGGAAAGAAATTGTTCATGGATTATGTTTTTGTGATTTAGTATGAACGATTTTATCAACACCATTTTCATCCACAGTTTTGAATTTTTAAGTTAAAAACCACTTTGTTCATAAATGCATCAAATTAGAAAGTTTGAGATTTTAATAAGCTATGTTGGTAATAACATAGTTAAGTGTAACCGTTAACAGATAATATTTTTGTTGATTCGTTATAAACAATTTGTATCCATAATACTTTCTTTAAGTATTTTTAGTTTTCGAATATTTTGCGTATATCCCAAAAATGATTTCTACCAAGAAGAAAAGGAGCTGAAAGAAACTAATTCGTATATTAACTAATGAGAGGAGAATTTGCTTAATCCCGTTGACAACAATAAGATAAAACTATTCCAGGATAGTATCCTGTATCTATCCTGGAATAGTTTTATCTTATTATATTAACTAATGAAGTAAGGTGGTGATCCCGTCAAGCTAAAAATCGTGTAAGGAGGTGCGGTAGCATCAAATGTCAGCTTTATCATTTATATTGTAGACAGAAAGAGATACACACCTGAAGAACGCGGAATTATTCTGTCAGATTATTATATCAGACATCGCTAAACTCCTTTTTTGCTTTTGTTGAACCTTGCAAATCTGTAAAGCCAAAAGTGTGGAGTTGTTTATGGCCAACCCTGTTCAACAACCTAATTACAAAAAGAAACAGACTTTTATGATTAATCAAGCGCTATAAAGGAAATCAGGCTATCAGGAAATACACTTATCATTATTTATTTTTTCTGTCGTAAGAACTAAATTTTATTGATGACGAGGCGTGTATATTATAACAAATATTTGTTCAAACCCATTGGGTCATGTAACATTCTAGATGATCTCAATTTTGGATCTATCAAGAAGGGATGTAATCCCAAATTTACTCTATCGAGTTGAAAAAACCACGAAAGCTAATTTATTAAATCGGTGTCATGAAACCAATCTTGAACGCACCGAGCGGTATAAATATCAGAATGCTGTTTGCACAAGTTATTTCTAAAACTTGAACCACATCGCAATATTTTAAACTTAAACGTTTCACTTCCTGATTTCAATTAATTCCAAATCAAATACTCTAAAACTTTCACTAACATAATGAGAGCATTTTTTTAATTCTTTTTTTTTAATTTTAAAGAAAAATATTTTTTTGTTGATAAAATTTTTTTTATCAGTTTGAATAAATTTAAAGGCGATATCAATTCAATTAATGAAATGTTATAATCAGTTAACTTTTGAATAAATAATAACAAAAAGGCGTTATCGTTGCATAATTTTCATTACTCTCCATAATTTTCCCTAAATTAATTCACGAACTTCTACATCAAACCAATAGTCGGTCAACCTAATCTATACGACACTTATTTTGCATAAGATAAGCTCTTTTACAAACGTATAAGAGGAATTACACGAAATAAAAATTGCAGTTCGTGTTCGTCAGTGAAAATAACCACCAAATACAACAAATTGAAAAGGAAAAATGTATAGTTATTTAAAAAGTGTTGCCTCCCTCCTTCCCATATTTCTTATTTGTAAGTTTGTTTTTCATTAGAATGTGGTCGAGGTGTTCAAGTAACCAAATGAATTTCAGCGGTTAGATGTGAAAGTGATACCTCATACAACTCCACTGGTTTAATTGATAGATATCCCGGTTATGGTGAGTCGTGGGTGTTTCTACCCGACGGTGATGGAAAACCGAGAGTGGCACTTTTGGAATTACCCAATTGGATAACATCACGAATAGGAAGGGCTGAAGATTTAGTTAGTTTTACTTTATTCACGAGATATAACGAAAATGGGCAAGTTATTTTTTTGCAAAATTTAAATTTAAAAAATACCACTTTTGATCCGAATAAGGAAACTAAGATTGTAACTCATGGGTGGATGTCCAATGGGAAAAGCAATACTTGTATGGATATTAAAAATGCTTATCTTCAACTTGGAGATTATAATGTTTTTGTGTATGATTGGGAACCTATTGCTAATAATTTCGCTTATCCCATTGTTGCTTCAAGAGTGGATTCGGTTGGAACAGAATTAGCTAAATTTGTTGGTTTATTGATAGCTAATGGTTGCGATAGGATGAAAATTCATTTGGTGGGGCATAGTTTAGGTGCACATGTTACAGGTGTTGCTGGTTCTAAATTTGGCAAAGAAAAAATTGGGCGAATTACAGGTATTTATAAATTTATTTTTGGAATGTATTATGTTTTATTATGCTATGATATATTAGGATTAGATCCTGCTGGGCCATTTTTTTCAACGAGCAGAACTGATCGTTTATCAGAAAATTCGGCTAAATTTGTGGATGTAATACATACTTCCGGTTGGGTTGTTGGATATGGAGAATCGATTGGAACAGTTGACTTTTTTCCAAATGGTGGAATCCCACCTCAACCTGGTTGCTCTGGATTACCTGAAGTAATAATTAAAATAATAAATGTAAAAAGAATCTTGATAAGAGTTTTTATTCTAGATTATAGAGGGATGCAGTCACGCACGAAGTTGGCAATTATTTAGAGATAGTATAGAAAGTGCTAATAAATACATGGCAAAAAAATGTGAAAGTTACGGAGCGTTTAAAATGAATAAATGTGACGGAGATATGATTTCGATGGGCGAACACGTTAGAAACGATGCCAAAGGAAATTACTATTTGAAAACGAATTCTAATTATTAATTTTGACGTTATCTAGAAAATAAATTACATTTTAAGTTTCGATACGATTTATAATTTGATTTTGCACGATTCTTTTTAATACCGATTAAAAAAAAAGAATTGATTAAAACTCGATATAAAAAATTCATATTTTTAAATATTGCTTGATAATGGTAACTAATTCTATTATTTTTTTTATCAAAAGTCTATTTTAATCCTATTTTAATAATGTATAAAACTTTAATTCGTCCATTTGTTATTGTCCATTTGGTGTTAACACAGCTAAAATGTTACTTCGTTTCTTTATAGTGATTTTATTAGCTTTTGGTAAGTACAGAAAAACTTCGATATAACGGATTAATACGGGGAAGAGTGTCCGTTATATGAAACATTTTTAATTTGCTCCACACCGTTGCGCTCTTTATTACTTAGTTCTACTTTTAGTTCAATAAAAATATACAACAATCTACCAATGAATTACAACTAAAACTAGAACTAACACTAGCACTGGAACTAACACTAGATCTAGAACTAAAAACATTTGGGTTTAGCCGTACGTCTCTTAAGACGGCTAAACGCAAATGTTTCTAGTTCTAGGTCTAGTGTTAGTTCTAATTTTAGTTCAACAAAAATATACAACAATCGTTATATCCGAAACTCGTTCTAACGAGGTCCGTTATATCGAAGTTTCACCCTATTTTTGATAAAAGCTTATAAAATAATTAATTTTTTGATAAACATTTTAAAGAAAACATCAAATGTGACCATTACAACGATGTATTAAAGTACACATTTAAGGCAAGCGAAAAACGATTCAATGAAACCATCTATCAATTGATAAGGAAAGATATGGAATACGTTCTTTATGCGATGTAAGCATAAATTATAATTTAGTATAATATTAATAATAAATTATCCGCAAAATAGGACACATACATACGGAACAATATTCACCCACAAAGATTTTGATGATTATACTCTGCTACCAACAATTTTACACTCCCCAATTAAAGTGCTTATACATGGTATGATCGTGAATGAGACAATAATAGAAGAATTTATTGGTAATTTAGTGATGCTCAAAAATGCTATTGTAATAAACGTAGATTGGACGAATGTTAATCATACACTATTAAATAAATTACAACGAACAGGACCGATGTATATAGCAAACTGTGTGTTTGAAATGTTATTCAAATTTTTTAGCGATGAAATGAATTCTTATGATATACATTTGATTGGTCATGGATTAGGGGCTCATATAGCTGGATATGTGGGACGTATCTCTCAAATACACAATTTTACTTTAAATAGAATTACAGGTAATAAATAAAAGACACAATTTTCAATCTTATTTAATTCGTTTTTCTATTTAGGTCTAGACGCAGTAAATCCATACATTAAAAATGGTTTACGAAAAAAAGATGCAATATTTGTTGATCTTATAAACACATCAAAAGTAAAAATACCGGAAAAAGATTTAGAAAACGGTAACAGAGGAGATGCAGATTTTTATGTAAATCCCGAAGAAACTCAGCCGATGTGTATTAAACATCCTAAACATAAAGAATGCAATGCCATGCAAGCGTACGTATATTTTTCTGATTCGATAAAGCATCCAAATAAATATCGTGGATATCGTTGTACGTTCAAAGTTGTTAGTGTGTATTGTTGCAAAGGAGGGTCTGCAACAATGGGAATTAATGTTAACTTCGGAACAACAGGAGTCTATTATGTTGATTCAAATCGTACGAAAGAAAGTATTTATCCATTACGATACAATCCTAAAATTTCAACATACGTATGTGAATAGTTTCTAAGAAAAATGTGTATGTTTTTACATTTTTTAAAAACCCGAGCGCTTTGTCGGTAAATACAAACGAAATTCTTGTATGTATGGAACCTCATTACTTAGATCGTTATTACAACATACTTTTAATTTCTTATTTGATTGTACGTTATAATTTTGTTATACCATTTATTTATTTTAAAATAAAAAAATTAAACCACGCTGATTTTTAATTTGAACCAAAAATCACGACAAAATTACGTTTTAATAAAAAAAGGAGTTTTGTTTTTATTTTAAATAGCGTGCATTTTTGTCATATCTTGCCTGTAAAACATTTTGAAAATAATTACTTTTCCAAGTATAATTTAAAATATTTATTTATGACATTTTAAAGGACGCGGTAACCATGCTTAGCAGCTCACAATAGAAACTATTACTTTACCAAAATGATGTCTTTAAGATCAACCTTAACAAGTTTTTATTGCCTTTTTGGTAAGTTAAACAAATAAATTAAATTAAAATAATTAAATTCAATTCTAGTTTTACACTATGTGGAATCTCAAGTTATTATAACATTATATACAAGGTAAGAAATGTATTAAAATTAAAATAAGAATAATATATATATATATATTAAAAATAACTAAATCTAGAACTAACAATAAAAATATTTGAAATTAACCTTCTTAAGAGACGTACGGGTAAAGCCAAATGTTTCTAGTTCTAGGTCTAGTGTTAGTTCTAGTTTTAGTTGTTAGTTGTTATTGAGTACTAAATGGCTGTATATTTTTATTGAACTAAAAGTAGTACTAACATTAGACCTAGAACTATCCCAAAACAATTTTTTTCTTTAGATCAATTCCTAATGGAGTACAACTTACTCAAAGTAATAAATACTCTAATTCCGCCTATAGTAACACAAAAGTCACTAAATTTACCATTAATGGCTGGGTTTATAACTGGGATCCAACATTTCCTAATATAACAAAAGCTTATCTTAAAAAAACCGATTTAAATGTTATAAACATTAATTGGTCCGCTATATCGGGTGATATGAATGGAACGGTTGGGCTCCAAAATTTTAACGCAGTTGGCAATGTTTATCTGGATTTGTTAACGAATTTGATTGCCAGCGGTTCGAACGCGAACAACTTTCATTTAATTGGCCATGGTTTAGGTGCGCATGTTGCTGGTTACGCTGCCCAGCGATTATTTGCTACCAAAAACGTAAAAGTTAACAGATTAACGGGTAAGTGAAACGACGTAAATTGGATTTTAAATTGGTGAGATTAATCTAATTTTTTTAATTGATCTATTTTTAGGTTTGGATCCTACTATTCAAACAATTAGAAATTTAACATCAACTGATGCTCAATTTGTCGATGTAATTCATACTACTGATGTTTATGGTACTTATAAAGCTTTGGGTATCGTTGACTTTTTTCCAAATAATGCGCTTGTACCTCAAGCAGGTTGTGGTTTTGAATATGTAGTAAGTTTAATATTTATTTACTTGTATGTTGGCTAAATAACCATGAATAAGTTTGAAATCTAACTAGTAGGGAAGACAGTAATTGTTCTCATAAAATTGATTGAAAGAAATATTCTAGACAATTGACAATAGATAACTAATATTTAAGAAAAAAGTAATGTATAATCTAGAGACTCAAGAAGCCTACCCAACCCAACACAACCTAACCATAATATTCAATTATACTGTTATCAACATTGGGCACACGTCGCAAAACTTTGTTTCAGCTCTAATTCTCCTCCTTTTTGATAACATGAATCAGAAACCTGTTAGACAGATTTTCATTATTCCCTATCATAAAGTAAACTGCAACATTAAATTAACTGCAGTAGTGCGTTGATCTCTTTCAAACAACAATTTGAGACTCTTAATTAATCTTTCGCAGTTTATTGTAAATTCACCGCATTAGTGTTTCCCATTTTGTGCTTCCCGCTCCCTAGATTCTTCTAACAACATATTTAACTACTACTTTACTGATCTAACTACTGAACATTATCTTCTTTAAACAGATAAAAGCCTTAAAAAAATTTTTTCTTCTTTTTGATTAAGACATTGCAAGAATGTCTCTTCGATGTTGGTGTTTCTTTCTTTGCTTACTTCGCCCATCTACGTCCTGAATATCATCTCTCCAGTATCTTCGTGTTGATCTTATAAATCTAAAACATGCTGGATATCTAGTTCTTCTCGTGTTACAGCACTTATAACCTGGTGACTCTATCGACTTCTGAATTATGTTCTACTGAAGTAATAAATAAATGTACTTACAATATTTTTTACTACCCCCCGCTTGCCAATACTTGATTACTCTCATTTAAAGTGTCAATTACTGATTATGAAAATATTATTATTATAAAATAATTGATAGCATCTATTGAAACATATCGTTTAGTCCTATAAATTGACCTTTTCGATTACTCAGCCGTAATATTTGTGTGTAATATTTTGTAAATAAAATTTTATTTTTTAGCCAATGATAGCCTGTTCACATTATATGTCCGTTATTTTCTTTGGAAATAGCATTAAAAATGGTACGTTGTATTTAGCAACAAAATGCACTAACTATGAAAATTATAAAGATAGTCTTTGTACCCGGAATGCAACGACATATATGGGAGAGAGCGTTGCACGAAATGCTACTGGTTCGTATTATCTGAGTGTTTATCTAAGATCATCAAACTTAACAACTGAATTAAAAAGAATGTTTGGTCCTCACCACAAACATCATATTAAACACCATTAAGTGCTTTTCTTATGTAGGTAAATGAATATTGTTAAAGTAAAGGTAATCAAGTTTCACTGTTAATAAAAGAAAATAATTCAAGGTGTTTTAAATAAAAGGAAGTAAATGAAAATAACTTTTAATTGTTTTAATTATTAACCTAAATTTATAAAACATTTTGAAATTCCACTTCCATCTGAAAGTACCTACATAATCATTCCAGTTTAAACTGTAACTAGAGCAAGATTATTTCTAAAGAATTCGATTCGTACTTACGAAACACCTAATGTTTGCGAAACCAAAACGAGCAATGCTTAGGTAGTATTAGTACCCAATGTCAATAATTCTTCACGGTGAATGCCCATTACCATTAAGAACTTATTGAATCACTTTCGATAAGATGGTGTTAGGGCAAGGAACTAAAATTGTAGTTCTCTTTAGTGTACTCACCGCTACAGGTAAAAATTTACTTTTTACATTTCAAAAAACACCTTTCATTGAATAACTTAACGCTTGAATAGTTCAATTGGACGCCATCTGTAATTTACGCGTAATCTTACCATGGCTTTGTGATGAAGAGTTTTCAATCGGGGATTCTCCCATTTCAAGATTAATTTTGGGTGAAAAAGATATTAATTCTGCTATATTAGAGTTAGTACAGGATGTGGTCTCATTTACATTATATTCGTAAGTATCCATTAAATAATAAAATTAACGCGCCTGATATAACGATTATTTAAATGTTGTTTAGAAGATCAAATGAAGCAGGAATAAATTTTATAACAAGCACGGTATCATCAATAAACATAGATTCTTCAAAAGAAACAAAATTTTTAATACACGGTTGGAGTAATGATGGAAATTCAAGAATGCCACAAACTTTAAAGGATAGCTATTTACCTTCTAAAGATGTTAACGTAATCGTTGTTGATTGGAGTGGTCTATCAAATTTACTTTTATACCCATTACCTGCGAATGGAACCGGATACATCGGTGAATGTTTATCAAATATAATAGAAGAGTTGTTTCCAAATACCGAAAAACTAAATGTGCATATTTTGGGGCATAGTTTGGGAGCTCACATTGCAGGATTTGCTGGAAGATCTCTTAAACGGAAAGGATTTATTTTACCTCGAATAACAGGTATTATCTAACTAAACGTATTAGAAAGTGTTTGAAACATTTCTTTTAGGTTTGGATCCAGCAAGTCCCTTAATTTGGAATGGTTTAGTAAAATCTGACGCTGAATTTGTTGATGTAGTCCACACAGCTGCTGGATCTTTAGGAAAAACTGGTCCACAAGGTCATATAGATTTTTATCCAAATGGCGGAGTATCCCCACAACCGGGTTGTGAAGAAGAAACATTTATTAATATCCTTTTCTGTAGTCACGCGCGAAGTTGGCAGTATTACGCAAAAACGATACAAAATCCACGCCGTTATATTGCTGTGCAATGCGATTCTTACGAAGATTATTTAATTAATCGATGTAGTGGCAATAACATGCTATACATGGGAGAGTATTTATCATCACGATCACGTGGTATTTATTACTTAAATGCAAAATTAAATTAAACCTTTGTTGTTATATCTTGATTAATTTTTTAATTTCATCAATCATATTTCTTTTTTACAAGAAAACTAAATGTGTACAGTTTTAAGCATAGAAACCGAATAGATATTATCTTTCCAATGTAAATAACTTGATAAAATAGATACAATTATTTAATTAGTAGTGTTTTTTTTTGTACAATTCAACGCGTTGGTCTTTTAGATTTAAATGCAATTAGGATCTTAATCAAAATTTTTGAAGTGTTTATAAGATATCGATTTATAGATATCTAATGATGTAAGCAAAGTTGTCAAAAATTATTGATTTTTTTTTAAAACTACTCAAACTGATATGGTACGAATCCCTATAAATACACTAAAAAACATGAAGTCAATTGAAATCGATTGGCACCATGGAACGCTTAGCATTCTTAGTAGTTTTAGCTTTATTCTCTGCTGGTAAGTAGGATTATAGTTGAAACAAATATAACTTTGATTAAAATTTAATCATTTTTACAGCAACTTTTGCGGAAATCAATGTAGAAGAAGATGTAACGTTCCGTCTTTTTACCAAGTCAGTATTTTATTTATTTATCGTAGACTTTATTCTGATTTTTTTATTTTGCATTATAGAAATAATAAATATGAATGGAAAAACCTTGGTTTTGACGTTGAAAATATTACCTCGTCTGGTTTCGATTTCGACAAAGACACTAAGATCATCACCCATGGATTTTTAAATAACGGAAGTGGAATGTCTTGCATCGCTTTAAGAGATGCTTTCCTCGAACACCAAGATTTGAATGTAATTATTGTTGATTATGACAAAATTGCCGCTGATTTACTTTTGATGCCCGAAGATAAAGTAAAAATGACTGGAGAACATGTGGCCAAAATGGTTGATTTTCTGATTCTCCATGGACTTGATACAAGTAAAATTCACTTATTAGGTCACAGTTTAGGTGGTCATGTCGTTGGATATGCTGCTACACATGCACATAATGGAAAAGTTGCTAGAGTTTCTGGTTAGATTCTTTACTTACTCAATTTTATATTTTATGTAACCAATTTTTTCTTGTAAAGGTTTGGATCCTGCCCTTATGGTCAATATGGACGACGACGCCGTTCTTAATCCCGATGCAGCTGAATACGTCGATGTCATTCACACATGCCAAGGAGTCTATGGTACCACCAAATCAATTGGAACAGTTGATTTCTGGCCCAACGGTGGCCGTGCCACACAACCAACATGCGACGTTTTAGGAGGTGTTACTTGCAGCCATTACGAAGCTGTTCGTTTCATGACTAGAAGCATAAATGATCCTGAAAGATACCCTGCTCGTTTTTGCAAATCTGAGGATGATTTTAATGATGGAATCTGTGATGGTAATGAAATCGCTTACATGGGTATTGCTGCTGGGCGCCCAGCATTTGGAGATTATTACATCAATACTGAAGATGAAGGCGATGATATTAATTAATGGTTTTTATTAAAAATAAGTGATTTTTATTGTATTACCTCTGTAAAATAAATATACTATTATTTTAATATTTTGACTCATTAATTTCTCAACAAACTCAAAATGAAAACTCGTTAGTATTTTTTTAATCATCGCACATAATGCAATGATAACAAATTGAACATGTTAACGAACTCATTTGTGTGTTCAAACCTAATCATTAAAATATATATTTCCTCATACCTGATAACATAGCTAATGTCATTTTACAAACAGCACTTGAAAATATAAGATAGAGTATGCCCGATAATTACATTTGACTGATCAAAAAATTTTTTATAGAATGTACTTCCAGTTCAAACCTTTTTCCAATTATATGCTATCACACGGAGATCGAGGGGGTTCAAATCAGGCGACTAGGGGGTTACTCCATGGAAGTGATCATGGCTGGAAAATTGGTTTGACACCACTCCTAAACCACCTTAGCCTTCTGCGCGGACGCTGAATCCTGTGAGAGTGGCCCCAAAAAAACACTTCCTTCACAAGAATCTCATCAAGGTAGTTGTAGGTGTTAATCTTGACCAGAAAAATTTGCGATATCTTCCTGGTTAAAGTCACTCCGGCCTAAACCATGACCTGAGCGGTGTGACCCTTTCGAGAAACTTCTCGTCATTGAAGAGGAGGCCTTCATATGTTCCGTCACAGTGTGAGTTTTTTGCATTTTGATGCTACAAACTCCCAAACGATATTTGACGATCCTATGCATAGATTCATGGCTGATATTCAGCTAATTAGCCATTTTTCTGAGTCTTCACTTGGAATTCTGGCGAACCTTGTCCCGGACACTCTTAACCATGGTGGAATCACGGCGGCGGTCCACGTCTGAGACAATCATCGATGATGTTTGATGTTTTTGGGGAGCCTTTAGTAACAATAAGATGCGATAAAAATTTCACATACATGGAACTAAAACGAACAAAGATACAACATCGTAAAGAAAACTTTTGTGACACCCTGTAATAAGAGTGATAAACGATGAAATAAACGTATTTCTTCAAACGATGATACTATACGCCTTATTTTATTCTAAGTAATATAGATTTTGGAAATAAAGTATTAATGAAACCATTTTCGAGTGGGTTAACATTCGAATCGTTTCCAATTAAACGTCAATACATTTCGTTTATTTCTAATTTCACTCTACGTCGGTGTCAATACGTCGTAGTAGCCCAATAGACCGCCCCCTAGTATTGTAATGTACACAATACGAAGTTGGACGTACTCAAGGGGGGGAATAGGGGGATATTGGACAATAGAACATGGCCGTGGACATCGCATTTCCACCACGCATTCGCGAGAAGCACTCGTGTTAAAAACTACACGTTATTTTTTTTCTGGGACGATCTTAAATAAAAGAATTTTTGAAATAAAAAATTGCAATTACTCCATCTTGATTTTGTGTTTAATGTTAGAACCTATTCGAATTCTGTACCTTCTTCATACCAACTTTTATTATGTGGTTGGATGATAAAAAGACCAAACATGCCAGTGTTAAGAAGACGTGTCATCGCAAATCACGATAAACGTATTCAACCAAACGGCCTGTACGTCCATTCCAGTCCGCCAAGGGGTAAGTTATGCAAATTAGGCACTTTGTAATAGTTTGAAGTAGTTAAAGAAAGGTTTAGTGGTGCGAGTACACACGATTGTAGAAAATCGCGATAGCCTTTCCGCCTTGAATGAATCCTTTAGTGGTTTATGTAAATTTCTTTGGGGTTGAGACCGTATTGTAAAAGGATTTAATGGTATAGTTAAAGTCGTTCTTTTCTTGTATCTTGAAACGATACCAAGGAATATTTATATTAAGTACTCCTTTTTGGAAGATTTATTTTGCAGTAAAGCGTTGTTCTTTTACTAAAACATTTTTGCAGAGTAATTTTTTTATGTTAACACTTTTTAATGTAATACAAAGGGATTATTATTCGAGTACGTTACCCTTAGTCACGCTACCGACATTAACAATGTATTTAAACGTCAGTCTAAAGTGGTAAGCACTTCATGTTCAAACAAAAGAATTCATAATTTTAGTTTTGAACGGTCTCTTTCAGTTGTGTACACATAACTTGCACGAAAGCAGCACCCATGAAAATGAAAATTGAAATATGTTCATTATGGTCTATTTTAATGCCTTTTTAATAACACCTTTAAGAATTAATTTATTCAAACCGATAAAATTAAATTAAGGTAATTGGTAAACAATGAAACTTTATTTTTATCGTACCAAACTAATTCTAACTTTACACGTTCCGTTCGGAAACTAATAAAAGTGTAAAATTGACTATTTCTGGTCAAACGCAAAAATCTTTCGTCAAAAATTGATCAAACATTGTGGCTGAAACTTTACTATTGAGCTTTTTATTTACGGGTAATCGTCATGTGGAATAACCGCTGTTCTCACGATAACGACTTGTACACAAGTTTCGCGCCAACCCTCTTTGGTTGGCGTTTCAGTCGCACGTCAGGTTTAGTTGTGATCCGCGACTTTTTCGGCACACTTCGCACTCCATCTTAAAATTATTTTGATATTTAAGATTTTAAAAAATTAAGACAAATGTAATATTTTGAACAACCTAAATTGAACATAAAGAATTAAGTTAACAAAATTGAAATTGTTACTTTTTCGAAATTGGATTCAAACTGTAATTGTTTTTGTTAAAGTTTTACAGATTAATTCTGCTCATATTAAACAATTAATCAGAAACGGAGACATCGAAAAATTAGAAAACATCGTTTTAGAAGGCCAGGGTAAAAAATTACTCAGTGAATCCAGTTTGGACTACAGAGTAAAAACATTTTTGAAAGGATTACCAGCATTAATGGTAAGATTCTCCTTCAATATGTAATAATAATAAAAATTGAAATGATCCGGCGAAAGCGAAATTCAGTTATTGTAAACTTCGCATGTGGAAAAGTAGTTACAAAAGCCAATTTTATTTAAACAAGGTTACATTAATTTCTAAAATTGGAAGTGGTCGGTTATTGAAGGTCGATTATACGCGGTTTTCACTCAATTTGCGCTTTTCTTATCGCAAAAGTAGTAAAAGCCTCTTGTATCAATTCTTCGACACAAAACATCGAACAAAAGGTGATTGCTGACCAATTTTCTTTTGACAGTAACTATCTATCCACGCTCAAGTGGGTCAGGTTAATTGTCAGCTATTATTTATTGATAATGGGAACGATAAAATCGATGAAAACCCTTCGGAACGATTTCTTCACAAAAAAAAAACTTATTAACTTTACGGAATCGATAAGACAAATTTTGAAATAATAAAAATTTGACCCAAATTCTTAGACGCGCTAATGTCTCGTGGAAAATTGAATCATATTTCTACGACCACATTTTCATTATTATTTTACCAGTAAATAAACACAAAGGTGTTATTCACCCCGACACAATTACCATTCGTATCCCCCGAGGGTAGTCAACATAATGCTTCCTTAAATATTAATCCTTTGTTTATGATTACCATTGGACATTATTTATTTTTACATTGTCACATCGCGTGATCGTCCGGTATATCCATATAACACTGCCAACACCCAAGTCATCATTCTTCACAATATATTACCATTTTCAATAAAATTATTTTAACTATCAGATAAGTAATTAGATATAAACTAAAAATATGAAATATAAAAGAAATTATTTACACCTCCTCATTATTTTAGTCAAAAATAAGTTTACTTCACGATGCAGTTAATAGTGGACGACTGGAAGAACTTCAATCACTTCTTGATGAAGAGCCGGATAAAAAGAGAAAATTGGTTTTGGCTAAGGATGACGCTGGGGTTGGATTAATACACAAAGCCGTTTATTACGATCTCAAAGATATCGCGAAATATTTGATTGATAATTATCCAGCAACTGTTCATCAAAAAGATGCGGTATAACAAAATCAATAAAAGAATATGATGGACAATATTTATTATTTCGCATTTTTATAGGAAAGTAGAACTGCTTATCATTACACACCAATGTGCAAAGATAAAGGTTATATACAAAAACTGTTAAAGTTTGCCGGAGCTGACCCGAATGTGGTGGATTTTAAACAGCATACTCCTAAATACTACATGGAGCACCCATCAGAACTTGAATTACCCAGTCCTATAAAATCAACTAATCAGTCTAGGCGTGGAACAGCTGGGAAAGACAGTGAGTAAATATGATTATTTATTAATTTGAATTAAATAGATTGATAATATCAACTACTTTAATAGTTGTTACGATAAAATCGTCAATTTAAAATGACAATATTCTTTCGAGATTATAATCAGTTTAGCGTTGATGTATTAATTTTTACATATCTTTATCAATTATCGTTATTGAAATAAAAAGTATTCACAACTAAAATTTTCTCATTCGATTGACGCAAGTAATATTGTACAGTATATTTTTACAACTTTGCTTAATGGGTTAACCAATTAATCATCATGTAGAGATTTTTCATTCGATATATTCAATTAACAAAGATTAGCATACCATATATATTTTTTGTGATGAGTAATTCTATTAACCCGTGGGACAACAACAACAAACCTCTCCATATGCTTTAAAATCGTTTTTTCCTTATTTTTCCACCTACTTTTCTTGTCAATAACTTTGTTGACTTTGAAGACAATGGAATATTAAATACACCACTAGAAAATTTGATCTTTGTTCATCTAAAACTTGGTTTAAATAGGTTATATAGGTTTGGATAGAATAAGTTATTATTTTGTAGAAAGTAAAGTTTTAGTACTATTTTTGTATTCTTCATAAAAGGCTGGTATTAATGTTCATTTTCTGCCATTGAGAATGCTCTTTCGCGGTTACAAAATACATATGTATCACCAGACTTCGATTACGAGTAAATCAAAGGACATGAAAAACGGAATCTATTTCAAAAATGTACACATTTTAAGGATTACTATATGAACAAAGTATAAATAAAAAAGTTTTTTTTCAAAGCAAATTATTAAAATTGTGACAACCAATAATCAACAAAAATATTTATCGCACGAAATTAATTCAAAACTAATAAATATGTTTTATGAAGGTTAAATAGTTAACGATCTAACAATATGAATATTATCAACGAAATTTATCGCAATCAATAATAAAAACTTACCACTTCTAAAGCAATCATCACCACTTGAAATGTCGCGTCGGTGTCGTGTAAAATCCACCTTAAATCTATTCAATCATATTTCATTCAATTCTTTTGAAAGATGTAAAGCAAGTCGTTAACTATAGCAAGGCTTCCTTTCTGTTACACTACCCTTGTCGTGCTTATTCCTAAATTAGCCGTAATCAAAGCTACAAATTACTGTTTTTGTGAAGTAGCCACGAATTGAATATGAGGCAAACCTAAATATATCGCGGATCTAACAAAAAAAGTATTAATTTAGTATACTTTTAGAAAAATAAAGAAAATGCGTTAATCGGAAAATTACATCTCTACGACGTCTATGTAAATTATTTAGTTGAAAACTTTTACTTCCGAATAAATCAATAGATTTCTTTCAATTTTGTATTCGAGTAAAAAGTCTACAAAATCAATGTGAGTTTCCCTCCCTACTATGTAATTGAACTTTTCCATCTGATATACGTTAAGTAATTGTTCACTCGAAGGTTAAGCGAAGAAGCTCAAAGTAAACACCACGTGTATAAAGTTATTAATCTATTAAAACTTTTATTTCTGTAGAATATAAAAAGGCCACGTCATAAGTATCTTTAGTGGTAACATCGGTGGTTTATTGATTTACGATTATGATACAAAATAATAGGCTTCTTTTTACGTTACATAATTAAATAGGCACTTTTCATGTAACCCAATATAGTTCATCAAAAACCTACATCTAATTTTTAGTAACAAAAGAGTTAATAAGGTATTAATAAATTTAATCATTAATCATTTAACATACTTTCTCCAAACAACTTGGAAATAAAACTGTTTTCAAAGGGCACGGACAGTGTGAGAATGAGCACACGATAAACGGGTGTGGGAAAATCCAGATCGATACCATAGCTTTAAATTATTAAACTATATAGTCACATGACTCTTGTCGGCGGCTACGTTTACGTTCCCATGGGGTTGCCGACATACACTCACTCATAGAAATCCATTTAATACTGGCCCTTCGTCACTCGACCATCCCGTGCTAAAGTTCTTCTTTCAAAATGACCTCAGGTTTAGTCATCAAGAAATCTAACATCAGAATATGGATACATCAAAGGAACCTCACCAATTTACAGCAAGTAGTGTGGGAGGGCCAGGGATCAAAGCTTTTGGTCGAACACAGCACGAATCCTAAAGTGAAGAAATTCTTGGAAGCTGTGCCACCTATTATGGTAAGTCAAAACATTTCTCAAGTTAAAATAAAATTCTTATTTCTTGCGGATAACAAAATAAAAATAGTACCTAATGGTTAATATGGAGTTTCGTGACTCCTCTTTTTAATGTAACACCGATACCATCAAATACTCTTTTAAAATATAATTATTCGAAAGCTTTTCGCATGTTTAGTTAGATTTAACAGATACACTAGAAGAACATGCAAACCTTTTAGAGGTCGTTAACATTTTATTTTTTGGTTAGAAATGTTAAAATTATCGTCTATACCAAATTCTCAGAACAAAATATTATCTAATTATATCATAAACTATGAATCATATTTCCATATTTTCAATTATAAAATGTCCCAACCCACGTTCACGTAACTTTGGATCCTGCGTGATACAATTGTTGTAAACGAAGTAAATAGAACGAATCAATTGCGATGCAATTCAGTATCACGATGAACTTTGTCAGGAAACATAACAAAAATTCTTCAGGTACAAATATTAACTTTTGGTTTTCGTTGCTTCAATTTTGGAATAGAGCTTAATTAAGGATCTTCACACTGACGTTATCAACAACGATTGTGACGCCTTGAAAGCGCACTCAACGGATCCAATCCCTCCGGTGGTATTGTCGGCGAAAGACGCTAATGGCTTGACGCCATTACATAAGGTATATTTATAGAAATTATTTAATATTTGATGAGAAGTAAGTATATTAATAGGCAGCTGGTCTTGGGCATCACGAAGTAGCTGAATATATTATTGGGAAGTACCCAAAAAGTTTGTCTTTAAGAGACAATGAAGGACGAACACCTCTTCATTACGCCGCATTACCAAAGGATGATGGAAAAATGTTCGATCTGCTTATGGCTTCAGGAGCTGATGAATCTGCTTTAGATAATGTAAGTTTATTTTCGACAGGCGTAAATAATAAAATAATTTTATCAATTTATAATTTAGAAACAAAAAACAGCTGCGTTTTACAAAGCCAGAAATAACGAATTAGATCCAAAGCTTTGCCACGTTATACCAGAATGCCCTCGCATGGCAAAAGACTCGTTCCCCAATAATTGGGACTGGGCGATTTTAGGATCCGCTGCTACACCCGTCGAAGAAGTGATCAAAAACGGCAATAACATGGCCGAAGGTGTTTTTGGAAGTACAATGGATTTAGAGAAGGCTAAAGAAGAGGAGTTAAAAAGTAACGATAAAAATGAAGAAGAAACTAATGGTGATCATAATGACGAATCCAAGGGAAACGAAGAAAATGCACATGAACTCCATAACAACGATAGTGCAGTAGTGATGGAAAATGAGGAAGAAAAGGAACAGGATGAAGCTGAAGAACAGGAATCAGAAACTATCCCAGAAAATGAACCAGAAATCATAACCGAACCAGAAGTACATGAAGAAACGTCTAATTCCGAACACAATGAAACAGATCATGAAACACAAGGAGAAGAAGATCATGAAGAACGAGAACACGAAGAATCAGAACACGACGAGCAAGAACATGAACAACAAGAACATGAACAACAAGAAGACGAAGAACAAAAACATGTAGAACAAGCAAGACAACCATCATTAGAAAAGACGGAGGAGGAGGAAGAGGAGAATTCCAAGGAAGTTGAAGATCAACCTAACCACGAAGAAAATCAAGAAGAAGCCAAAGAAGAAGAAGTAGAAAATAAATCCTCAGCAACTTCAATAGAAAACTCTCCAGCAAAAACCATAGAAGTAACGGAAGAAGAACCAGAAGCTCCAATAGTGGATAGTGAAGATGTTATAGAAGGAGTTGTAAATGGGGAAAACGAAGTAGAATCTGTAAATGAAGAAGGTCAAGGTGTACAAGATGACGATCCACCCACAGACGATGATATAACCGCTTTAATTGAAGCTGGAAATATGGAACAACTCGCTGGATTGGTTTTGAATGGTAAAGGAAATCGATTAGTCGGTCATACTTCCCAAAATCCAGAGTTGCAGGCTTTTTTAAACAACGTTCCCACATACATGGTAATATTTAAACTTATTAAGAGGTCACGTCACAGCATCGATCATAAGCACCTAAAACTGGTTAAAATCACACATTTGCAACTAATCAGCTGTTGAAGGTCCATGCTGTAACATGACATGCTTTCAAAGTCTTTAATACCTAAGTTCCGCCATTCATTCTAAATTAATGTTTTAGGCGAAAATCAATAAAATTCACATCGCTGCAAGAAATGGGACTTTAAAGGAGTTGCAAGCTGCTTTGGATAGACGTAAATTTGCCGTATCCAAGGATCCTATATCTCCGGATGGAGCCTCCCCTCTACACGTAGCAACAATTTTTGGAAATACCAGCATTGTTCGATACTTAGCTGGACGCTTTCCTGAAACAGTATCAGTAGTGGATAATAATGGAAGAACACCTCTCCATTATGCAGCTACTGTAGCTGATAATGGACACTACTATAATTTGTTGGTACATTTAGGAGCAAATATGAGAACAGATGATAACGTAGGATACTTCACATTAATTAATATCATAATTCTATTTTTCTGTTCTTATTTGTTCAGTTTGGACATTCACCTGAATACTACAAAACTAACCAAGAAGACCTATCACATCGAAATCTACTTGTGAGATTTGGTGCTGATGAAAACGTCTTAGAAGAAATGATAAACGATAAAGGTAAGTGTTTTTATTTTATCATGGTGCATTAATTTAGGCGCTTATTAGTGTTGCCGTTTCAAACAGAACTTGTACAGTCACTAGTTTTTCCGCCATTTATTCATAGCGCTTGTATAGATTGGTTATTAACATATTATCATCATGAATTGAAATTTTAAATAAAATTTTTTACATTTTTATTGAATGGTAAATATAATTACTACTACAGTTCCTAATGACGACTGCACGGCGAGAAAAGATTTGGATGATGAAGACATGATTGCAGTACTTGACAAATGCTACACTGTATTGCATGGAAGACGAAATTCGAACACGTCAGTTTCTTCGACTTTAACTACTACTACAACTGCTTCGACATCAAGTGGTCAGTGCTTAATTGGTAGACATATGAGACGGTTTACTTTTGATAAAGTCAAACTAAGAATCACAAAACTTGATCACAACTTATATGATATTATCTGGCCTAGCGTCAAGAAGTTACCGCAAGATCTATCGTTTCGGGTAGCTTTAGAACAAGATTTTCCTGCAGGAATTGTGGCACCCGATGTTTATGCGTATACAGTTTTTAGAGAATTTTTGGAACCTATAATTAAAGATATTAATAATATCGATTTACATACAGATTTAAAAGAACAACCAAAATCTCAATTTATAATTGTTAATAAACCAGAAGATATAGACTTAGACTTAGATTCTAACGTTAAAAATATACTCACCGCTACATTAGAATGTACGCGAAACTTAGAAGAGTTTGAGTTTCCTAAAATGTTGAACGTGGGGCAATTAGAAGAGGTGGAGAAAATTTTAACGACTGCACTATTAAGTCATGAAGTGGCAAGCTCATTGTATCCTAATGCTACTAAACAAGATATTGTTGAAAAAGGTGGTGGGACTTATTATACTATGAATGAAGTTTTGGAAGAGCCATCAGAAGCTCGAGTAATATTGTCTTCAAACGGGTTAATGATACCTTTGTGGAACGTTGCTCAATCTGATAGATTACATGGTAAACATTGGCCATATGGGAGAGGAGTATTTATAAGTAATTCGGCCAATTTTGCCGCCTGGATCAACGTGTTAGACCATTTAAGAATAGTCACATGTTCCCCATCGCAAACACCGGGAAATATCGGAAGAATTTATTCAAGAATAAATAGAGTTATGACATCTTTGAATAAATATTTGATTTTTAAACGAGATGTTAAACTGGGTTATTTATCAGCTAGACCTTCAGCTCTTGGTAACACTTTACACTTTAATTTAACAGTTGCATTTCCAAATTTGATAAAGGAACCAGACAACCTAAAACATCTTTGTTCAGTGAGAGGACTACATTTTCATAGAGGTAGTTTAACAAATGATGTTGTTCGAATAGGCAACGAACAAACGTTAGGCATAACAGAACTTCAAACATTCGAGGATTTTACAACAGCCGTGGCTAATATTCTTCAACTTGAGAAGGACTTAGCCATGTCGAATTCGATGCATATAGCTGCCATGTTCGTTAATATATTTAGAAGAAAGAAAGCTAGTCTTGCAGAATAGCAATTAGCGCATTAAATTTTAAGTTATAATTAGATCGTAAGGATGTACATAGTGCCAAATTTTTGATTTCATTGTTTTATTTATTCACAAATGCATTGTGGACGGACAACCTGATAGGTCAGTAAATATTTACCGCTTTAACGGCACCCGTTTATTATTTGTCGTGAGACGTTCATTCTAAAAACATGTGACGTTTTTTGTATATCCAGGCACTCAGCACTGCTCTATCGACATTGTTTCTATTGTCGTGTTGGCTTCTTCTTGTGTGTCATATGTGGTCACCTAACCAGGTTATTCATAAATGAGAACACAAATCAAAATACCACCCTATTTAAACAGTAATAACAACAATCGATATTTTTTGGTTACAGGTAGTCCACCAAAAGATGCTCAGGTAGAGATGCCTTTCTTTTGCACGGAAGAAGGTCGTTATTTGGCATCTTGTAAGTTATCCCTAGTTATTACAATTACACTTAGTCAGATCATACCACACACCAACAAATATCTTAAAACATATTTATCTATTTCATAGACGAGCCAAAGTAGTTATTAAAATGTTTCCAGCGTTAGGAGATCCACTCATTAAAGGTTTAACAGAGGTTGCCAATAAACGTCCAGACGACCCAATTGCCTATCTTGCAACTTACTTATACAATTTTGCTAATAATAATAATAGAGGAAGAACCAGGGGTGGCACTCAGGTTAATACAATACAAAATCCTATAATAGTAGATTCATTGAAAGTTTTAGGAAACCCAACAACATATTATCACCGGTTCCCCTAATGCTGAAAATAATAACGCAGTCCCAGCAACAATAGAAGTGGTAACACTAGAACCAGAACACAACAATCAAGAAGATTCTGCATTCAATGCAACAAATAGGGTGCGTATATATATTTTAGAGAATCAATTTTATTATGCCATATTTTATGTAGGATGAACATGGACAAAGCATGCTTCATTTTGCTGCTGCACGAACACATGGTAGAAATGCATTATTCCAATTGCTATCAGAAACAGAAATTAACATTGGATACAGAGATGAACTATACAGGACTGCTAGAGACATTAGTATTCAAGCCAACATACCGGAAAATACAGTCCAAGTTGATAAATACGTGGTTCATATTGCATCCAAAGGTAGTTTAAATTATTTGTGTTCTAAATGCAATTAAATATCTAAATCTTTCTTTATTTTAGGTGACACCGACAAATTAGTGGAGTTACTTCTAGATGGTTATGATCATATAATAGACATCATAGACGAAGAAGGCCAACCTATTTTAGATGCTGTTACACAAGCGGGTCAACCAGAAACCGTTGCATTTTTACAATCAATTCTGGCTTTTGAAGTATGTTATTAAATTAAAATACAACATTAATATAAGAATTTTTAACAATAACAGGAACGACGCGAACGTGTTCATCATTGCATCCGGGAAGGCTCCCTCAACGACATTAAGAAGCTCCTCGCAGATGAAAACGAAACAGGCAGTGGTAAACTCCTTGCTATCGGCAGGAATAGTTATGGAAGATGCACTCTTCATATAGCAGTATTATGCCAACAAGAAGAAATTGTTGATTTTATTGCTAACACATTCCCCGATACATTAAGGATTGGTGATAATGTAAGGACACTATTATCAAATAATTTAATTAAATTAAATTTTAAAACATTCTTTTTTATTGTTCAGCTGGAAAGAACGGCTCTGCACTACGCAATGGGTGTTGAAAAAATCGAATCGATTAGTAGGGTGTTGATTAAGGCAGGAGCTCAGAGAGTTGTTAAAGATTTAAAGGGGCGGCAACCCACTTATTATTTTATGAATAAATCTGATATATTAAGGCTTCAGGAAGAAGAAGAAATGTTTTAAATTTTGTAAGCTGTAGTACGTATATATTACATGAATAAGTTTTTCGGTCCGTCCATATAAAATAATCAAAAAAAATTTTTGCTCGATCATTTTATAATAAAATAATGTTTTCTTTGTAGACTTTTATGAGATTAAAGTCTAAAAAGAATAATTTCTTTCGGGTCTTTTATCTTCTTACCAACTAAACATATATTTACCAAAATAATCAAGTCTGATGATTGCTGTCTTTACAAAATAGAATTTTCAAAAAAACATAACTTATAACAAAACATCAAAACTTTAACGCTTTGTTCCTTTGTTGGGAAAGAGTTAACAAATTTTAAATTTTTTCCTAAAACTAGTGTTTACTATAGTGATGTAGAAATTTATGTTTGAGATTTTCTCCGTCTTGGATCTACGGTCCAAGTACTGGACATTTTTTATTGCTTCACGTTATACCGTTTGAATTAAAGCTGAGTCATATGATGTTTTACTAGGATATTCGGTTCTACCATAATCGACTTCCGCTTACAATCCACATCATGGAAATAATACGCGCACAGCCCACAACCAAAGACCAATAACAATGCCATAAACTGATTAGAGTCATTCATTTCGCGAGCAATCTAAAATCATTGACTTTTCCTACATACTGTTCAATTACATAGCCCAAGTCAAGCGGAAAAGTAACTTCGACGGTGGTTTAGCCCTACCAGTTTATTTTAACCAGCTTTACTTAGAAGACTGATAATTTACTTTAAAATGCATAACAGAGTATGTTATGGCTATGAACTCAAGAAGAAAGAAGTGATAAGTTAACACGCCCATTTAAAAAAGTGAATTCCCAGAAATTTTTTTTGAAATTCCGCAGGTCAGTTCAACACAATACGGCCCCTAAAGATGGGATTTGAAAATATAAACACTTGGCAATGAGTTGTAATCTTAGGTAAAACAAAAAATTCTATATTAAAGTTGGTAAAAATATAAAAAAATCTAAAATTATTATTTTTAAACTCAGAATTATGTATTTATCTACACAAAACAAATCATTTAATTATAAAATGATCAGCCAATCGCTATTAAATCATTCGAAATGGACACCTTTTAGATTAATCACATAATATATTGTTAGATTAGACATAAGAAGAGTCAATATATATATTATTTATTTATATATTTATTGAGTGTAAATGTAAGCATGTTTATATAGAAATTTATGATAGTATTTTTCTAGTATATTATAATATAATAATAGTAATAAATCAAAAGTGACATATAGCAAGTGGAAGACTAAATTTGTGAAATTCTACCGCTACATTTATCAATGCGAAATGTTTTATAAAGCACACATTCCGTGAGAAATGGGTGTAAGACTGAAATCGATTGAAGAGAAAGTGCACTTACTTAAGCAGATTAGATTTAAAAAAAATGACAAATAGTTTTATTAATTGTTGTATCGTTGTATGTAAAATATTCATTAAAAAAATACAATAAAAAATACATACAAGTGTATACGTTTTTCCTAAGTTAAAGATACTCATGTAGGTACATAATGTAATCGTAATACAAAATGATATGTCGGTGTCACTGTGACGATGGTTTAAGATTTGCGTCGATGTTTGGTACCCACGGAGTTGGATTTATATAAGTTACAGAGGCAGACGATTGTAGAGCTGTAAAAATAACTTTATAGAACCTTCGACATTGGTTTGGTTGAAAATCTTACATTTTATACCCTGATTAGGTGCTATTGGTTTAGGTTTATTCTTTGACGAAGCTAACCATTGTTGGTATGCCCTTTCGCTTTCTTCTAAACGTTGTTGTCTTTCTTGGTCTGATTTCATTACTTTTCTTTGTTCATTAATTTTTTTTTCTAAACATAATAATTAACACTAACACTATTTAGATTTGATATAACAATTCTTTTACCTAATGATCTTTGTTCTTTTTTCTTTAGCCATAATCGAAAATTCATTTCGTTTTCAGACATCCTTTTAGATTTCTCTTCCTCTAACATTTTTTCCTTCTTTATTTGATCTTGGATTTCTTTTTGTTTCTTAGCTTCTTCCATTTTCTTTTTGAACAGCCACCTTTTAAAGTTTTCCCTTTCTTGTTGCAATTGTAATTCCTTTTCCCTTTCTTTAATCTCTCTAATTAGGGCTTCTTTTTCTTCCTGTAACTTTTTTTGGTGATTTTTTCTGGCACACCAATTTTTAAACGTCTCTTCTCTATCTTTATCAATCATACAACGTCCACTTAGTATAGAAGTAGACTCTAATGACAGCTTAAGCTCGTCTTGGAAATTATTTATTGAAATTTGGCTACGAGAATCGCATAAATTAACAGAAGTGTTTATTTCATCCATCGCTTGGGTAGAGAGTGATTGATTAAGTACTGCGCAGCTATCGTCTTGCAAATTATTTAAATCTATCTTATCGATGTCTCCGTTCCTATGATCAGTACCGTAATTTTCACAACTTTTACTGTTATTCATTGTGATACAGGCACTCTGGCTTCTAGCACTCTCACGGAACGAGCTCTCGGCAGAGCTAGGGTGACATGGACAGTTTTTGGGATTTGAGAAACAAACACATTTCTTCACCTTAACCACTTTATTTTGAATTGCCTCGTCGTCGCTTGCATAATTTACATACAACGGGCTCCGTCTAAGTGGGGCCATTTGACAAATTGATGATTCCACATATACCGCAGGATTCACGTACTGACGAATGACCCTTATTGACTCCGAAGATCCCGTAGTCTTGCAACGACCATTTAATAAAGTGCTACCACTACCCTCCTTTTTTACGTTTTCTACATTAGCTAGATTATCACCGGATTGTGTCGGTTCAGTCGCTTGCATTTATTAGCAGAAGAAGATATTTGGATAACCTACAACACACATAAGATAAAATAGCAAGAAAAAAATACTTAAACGAATTTCTAGTAGCCGTTAATCAGTCAATCTAATAGGTAGTTAAAGAAGAGGTGTACTCACAAAGTTTCCCGACTTAAATATACTTAAACCTATCCGAAATGTGTCGTAGGCCAACTCCAATCACAGACAAAGAAAAAATGTGCATGTACTTAAAGAAGATTAACCGAATGAAGCGATTTCCGAAATGACATACATGACACACAAACTGAAAAAAACAAAACAATGAAAAGAATGGCATATTCACATTGCTGATGCCTTACCTCCGGCGATGAATAACCAGAATGACCAAACTTTATATGTTTTACTGACGATTCATAACGTTTTCGGAAAATTTCCAAATAAAAAACACTCGAAATTATTGTGTACGAAACAATTCGTTTTCAGTTGGCTTATATATTACACAATATGTCAAGTATGACATTATTCGTCAAAATTTACTATCACACTCTATTTTATAGGCACATTTGGTTCAACAGTCAATATCCAAATTAATGAGTAAAATATATACTATTAATTAATAAATAATGCAGGAACTTCCGTAATGAGATTAAAAATAAAACAAACCTCACCGGCTTAGTTACTTTTATTTTAGAAATACTCAAATTACTCGTGCAGATGATGAAAACATTGTTGGAAATCCTGTCGGAGTTTTGCAAGAACTGTGCCTTTCCAAAGGATGGACACTACCACTTTACGAGTTAGAGCACGAAGAAGGTCCTGCACATGAACGCCAATTTACAATATCTTGCCTAGCTTTATCTCGAAAGGAATACGGAAGTGGTAAGTCAAAGAAATTGGCAAAACGAATGGCCGCCCACAAAATGTGTAGAAGAATCGATGAATTGGGACTTCAAAATGATACAGAAACCACAGAACCTTACAAAATAAAACTTGTACTGGTAAGATAAAGATAAATGAAAAATTTGAGCATCAAAAATAATAATTAAAATTACAGGACATCCTATTTAATCATTTAAAAATCGGAGCATCATTTGGTATAAGAAATCGAGGAAAAATTTTAATTACCACTATGTTTTTGGTTTTAATTATGTTGGCAATATATTATTTTATTGATTATGAGGTTACATGTACTGCCCTAACAACTTTTCCTTTAGATACTGAGGAACTGGACTAAATACCGTAAATTAGTTAAAGAAAAAGCAAAAATGTTTTCCCGTATTCGTTTTGATTTTTAATAAACTACAAAAACAATTAATTTTATTTTTCTCTTTCGATATCAATCGCTAATTAAATAAGTCAATTTCAACGTCAATCATTCTTTATTAAAAGACGAAAAAGTTTTATACAAAAATTTTCGTTATTCCATCGTAATGTTTGCTATTTTAGAAAATATCGGCAATCTCCCGGTGAGATTGGCTATGAGCGCATTATATTCTCAAAAGAGGAACGTACGAAATTATAAACCACAACAGTCGGGGTTACCACAAATGAAGGTTACACTTATTGGAGCAGCGGGTAAAACAGATTAACAAAGTATTACAAAAAATATATCTTTTTATATACAGGAAAAGTTGGTCAACCATTATCGCTTATGTTGAAACAATCTTCTTTTGTGGATGAATTGGCATTGTTAGATGTTGGTGGTACTTGTGGACTTAGTATTGAATTATCTCATATTGACACCAAATGTAAAGTTAATGCTTATGCAGCAGCTGATGGGATTGACCGTGCATTAGATGCGAGTTTATTATAATCCATAAAAATTATTATATAACATGATGTTTTTAGGGAGCAAAATTAGTTGTTTTGTTAGCAGCATGTCAAAACACTAGTCACTTACCGTTCGATGAAATGTTCAAAGTAAACAGGGTATTGGTCAAGGATTATGCAACGGCATGTTCTAAATTTTGTCCTGGAGTAAAAACTAATCAATTTAATCAACTTCAAATATAATAATCACTTCAATTTAGGCTATAATTGCGATTGCTACTCATCCAATAACCACCATGGTGCCGATTGTTAGTGAAGTTTTGAAGAAATGTGGTACCTACAACCCACACAAAATCTTTGGAATCACAACATTACATACTGTTCGAAGCAATACGTTTGTAGGTAATATTTTGGGTATTGAACCGGAATGCGTTACTGTTCCAGTAATCGGTGGCGGATATGAAAGAAATGTTGTTCCACTTTTATCTCAAGCAAAACCATGTAGTGACTTCACTTTAGTAAAGAACATCAACTAAAATAAATTATTTTACAACATATTGTTGATAATCATTTTTAGGCCGAAATTCAATTATTAACTAATAATATTCAAATGGCAAGAAACGACATCATCAACGTAAAAAGATGTGAAGATTCCACGCTAGCGGCTGCTTTCAGTATTTCAAGATTTGTAATATCTTTGATTAAAGGCTTATTGGGTAAATCGGACGTTGTTGAATGTGCATATGTTAGATCTATCATTCATCCACGAGTAAAATACTTGTCAACGCCACTTCAATTAGGACCAGGTAAAAATTGTTTTATGCTAAGCATAAATTATACAAAATTACATCTCTTTAAGGAGGAATACAAAAAAATTTAGGCATTCCAACTGATATTACTGACTATGAAAATTGTCTCCTAGACACTGCTCTTAGTGAAATACTGAGAGATACCAAAAAAGGTGAGCAGTATTTGGGAATTAAAGATTCAAAAGATTGTGATATTTGTGATCCAAAAAATAAAGGATTTTGCCCGCCTGTGTGTAAACCTCAGAGTCTTTATGATTGAAAAACTATCGATAAAAAAATTGTAATAATGTAATTAAAATCTATTAATATATCTATCTCTCATATACAAAGGATGTGTATAAGTATTTATTTATTCATTATTATTTTACGATTTTTCAGCCAAAGAGAATCCTAGAAATTTACCACAAATACTCAAATTTCATCAATATACCATGAGTTGCATTATTTGCACTAAATTATATATCTTGCATTTAAATGCCATTTGTGGCTCAGCATTTTCAATTGTTGTTTTCAGAACAGTTTTGTTATGTTCAAGTTCATATTCCTAAATGAAAAGAACATGGATGAAAGAGAGCTTCATAGCTTGTGCCAGGGAGATACTAATAATAATAATATATTAAACCTTATAAATGTAAAAATACTGAACGCTGCTAAAATACTCCATACAATTTTGGTCTAATATAGCAAGCATATCTGTGGCTGAAATAATTTACAATAAATTTGGTGGTTACTTTTATAATCGCAATGTTTACTGCAATTTTTAGTAGTAGGAGCAAGCAACACTTGATTAGCTGTGTCAGTATTCACGTAGCATATCTTCAGACAAGTTTGGACAGAAAAGTCAAACCCATACACATTTTGAACCCGTATTCACTTATGAATTTTACTATTAACAAAATTGAATGACGTCATAACTTAAAAACAAATGACTATCGGGAAGTGAATATGGGCTCAAAATGTGAGTTTTGCAAAACCAAAATAGACTTGTTTCGCCGTTTTTACAAAATAATATTTATAAGCGTTTTATTGAAGTTATTCCATAATTTTGCCACCCAATCTCTATTACAACAGTTAAAAAACCATTCCCTCTAAAAAGATTAATCTATAAATAAGTAGAAACATTTTCTCCTGAGATTCAAATTTTCTGCAAAGTTCTGATTTCTTATTGGGCGTGGAAAGGGCTTTTGCAAAAACCGCTGGACCTAAAAATATGTCCAATATACCATTGGAAAGTTAATAGATGAGGAGTTTCACCCGATCATTCAATTTGCTCTAAAATATTTAGTTGCGGAAGAGTGTTCCTCCTATATCTAAATTTCTGTCTATACAAAAAAAAACCATTGCAATAAAATGGAAAGTGTTGAACCTACTGCTAAACCTACTGTTAACGTCAATAACATGCATAGAATGACACAAGAAACATAATGACCACTATTTATATTGTCATTTGTTAGACTTGTTCTAAATAATTTTAGGTTGTCCTAATTATGTTAATAAAAGTAATGTTCCACTACTGTCCTATTACTACCTGTATGCCTAAATCAATGGATAAGTGTGAGGGAACGCGGTGTTGTAGTAAACTTGGTATATTTTGAGTGTGCTAAGACAAAAGTACATATCAAACAATATTGTAAATATGTATTTAAGCAAAATAATTTCAGAATGAAGTCAGAAAATAACCAGAAAGATAAGAAAAGGAAATCGAGGTGCTAGACACCTTTTGGGTATATCCTTGCTTCCTTCTAGCATCTCTAAAATAGGAAACTAGTAATAATATAAATCTCCAAAAACATATGTTACACCACTATGTTAGCTTGTGTGCTTCTTTGTGATGTTTTTTTTTTACTTTTCATTTCTTTCCATACTCTTTTTATACATTTCATACCTTCTTTTTGTTTTCTTTAAAATTTTAATGCAGATAGAACGCCATACATTTTTATGACTTATCTTATTTCCGAAATTATAAATACTTAAGCCTAGGTTTTAAGGTATTAAATATTTCTTTTGCTTACCATTTTGGTTTTCATCATTTTAGCTTATTCAAATACTTCAGCCAGAAAGATATAAAGGAAAGTACATAAAAGTCAAAAGAATTCCTATTTTCTTTTAGGATTTTTTAAAAATATTTATATCACACAGCTGCTTTTTCATTCGTTTCTTTCTTTTTAACTTTTTCTGGGTTTTAAAATATTTATATCAAATACAACAAAGAATGCAAACCATGTTTAATACTAAAAGGTTTATTCCTTTATCATATTTGTATTAATTTCTATTGGTATCCAAAGTTGTCTGAATCATCTGGTCACACCTGCATAAACAAAAAAATATTAAGAAATTAATTTTTTTTGTTGATAGTTCTGAATATGATTAGAAAAAAATAAATAAAATTAAAAAAAAAAGTGATGAATGTTTAAAATAGAATATTAGGCTCGCTTTTATAACCCTTCTGATAAATTATCTAGGAGATAATAAATAATCATTTTTATAAAGTTAATATTAAATGACTAACAATAAATTAAAAGTGATGAAGAGCTATTTTTTGCATTTCTTTGAAAAACTGATCAAATTTTCATTGAAATAACCAATTATACATAAATATTTGTATTTTTCCATGGCTTATTACAAACATTAGGAAAAAAAAATTACATAATATAAGAAAAAAATCACATACAAACAAAAAAGAAAAAGAATAGATTAGATTTCATAGAATAATACTTTCTTTTATTATTTTTTTGTTTAGTACAAAGATTCAGCAGCATTCGACGATCGTGGTTTTTTGATTTTGTCCAAGTTCTTGATGACAATATCATGAAGCGAACAGTATCTGTTGCGTATTTCTGCCATAACTAACCACAAACTCAAGTATTCTTTTTCGTCCAATTCTTTGACTGCATGTCGGTAGTCATCTATATGTGGATATTTGGCCACTTTTGAGATTAGTTTACCTCTAGATATAAAATACCGGCTGATTTGGTCAAAAAACGCTGCTGCTTCCGATTCCACAGACTGCACCTCCGCTAATGTGTCTTCTTGTATGGAAACGCCAAAATTATTACCGTCCTCTATCTTTGGAATCATAAACGAAATCCACATTTTTAACTAAAATTTAAAAATACTGTAAAATATTGTTATTAAGTATTTAATAAAAAAATTTTACCAAATTTGAATCTTCAACTAATTTCCTTATATGGGGCTTCACAAGATTGACTAAATCTTGAATGTGCTTATTTGTAGTTACAGATCCGTTGGGTAAAGCCATCACCTTTGTTCCTTCCTGTACATTGTTGTCAAGCTTAATTCGTTTGGCAGGTGGATCATCATGGTTATTAAGTACAATAGGATCAGGAACTGGAATATTTAACTCTTGGTACACATCAACAAAGGCCCTAAAATAATCATTTTTTTTTAATTAGAAACTTTAATACTCATCATATAATAAAATAAACCTTTACCAGATAAGATTTAAAATCGCTTTTAATCAGAAACTCACCTGTTTTTGAAATTGGGTGTTTCCAATATGTCATTCAATGCAACAATTGTTTCCGGAAAGCCCTTAAACACTAATTCTTCAGCTTTACTTTTAAGTGAATCTTTGTATTCTTGAACCTAAAAGAAACATTCAATAATTAAAATAACCACATTAATGAATCAGCTACAATTTATAAAAAATACCACAACCTTTGCTAAAATATCAGATCTTATTGCAGATAATTCGTTTAGGTTAGTTTTAAACAGAGGCATCGAAACGGATGATTTGCAGTCTGTGGTGGTCATTTTGATTTAATTTTTTTGTACCGTGTAGAACAACCGAGCCCAAGCAGAATGTGACAGAAAATCGGCCGTATGTCACACCAACAAATAACATAACTTTGTCATTTTATTACCGGAAGGAAATAAAAATCGCTCGCGCGGAAGACGATCATTTTATGAATGTTATTACTTACTTTTTTTGAAGTAATATCTGCCATTATACTTAATATAATCGAGTCAAATAGTAAAAAAACGGCTTCAATCAATTGTTGGTTGTTTTTACGAAACGTGCTAACTTAACCTAAACTAGACACAAGAACGTTGATGCACTAAAAACATTTGATTACGATCACAATAAAACGCGAAGTTAGCCTCAAAAGAACGCGTGCTGCCGCCTAATATTTAAAGTAATAATTATAACTCAATAACTAATCAATATTATTAACCTAAAAGAAAATCAAATTCTCAATATTTTTTTATGAATGGTGATAGCAATCTTAATTACGTTGTAATATAACGTTTCTGGTTTCTTCAATCAATTAAACGTAGTTATTTAGTACATGAGATAACTTAATGTAATTCATACGTGTAAAGGTAAAACTTACTTCCATCTCTGTTATATTTGATATCGATGTTTAGTGAAGATCTGAATCGCATCAATTTTATTTCAGCACGATATGGTATCATTAAAATTTCCCCGATTGATAATTATATAAATATATAAGATATATTACATTATAGAAGTTGTATTGGTAAATTATACATGTATTGTATTGCTAACTTCTTTATTAATGGAATTTTACTGTAATTAAATAAGAAATAAAATTGCTGTTTATGTGATTTGTGTTGCCTATACACACATTTTATATGTTAGCAAATATTTTTTATTATACAGTATGTCCGGAAATTGCGTCTATATATTTAAAGAGGTGATTCTACTTTAAAAATCATGAAGAAAAGTTTATATAAAGTCCGGTCCGAAAATGCTACCTAAGGGCGCTAGAGCCCTTTAAAGATGACACTCAAAAAGTTTTTAGTGTATCTCAAAAACGGCAAGGTTTAGAATGCCGAAATTTGGTGAATATGATAATAAAAAGAAAACCAACATAACAGGTAAGGTTATTTTTTCTGCATTTTAAATTGCATCAATCAATTCTGCCTATTCCAACCTATTTTTGAATTCAAATTGCTATTAACACTCTCAAAATGGTTGAATATTCATGCGAAGAGTATACCAATATCCATTTTATGTATGGTAAGTAATATGTATACAGGAGGATGTTTCTGTAGTCATGGCATATATATTTTAATCACAAATACTAGAGTCAAAATGATGACCATTCGTGTAAAAATTTTTGGTGTGAACCCATAAATGGCTAAGATATGGGCCTTCAATGTTAATGTAATAATAATTGTTTAAACATTTTCTTAAATATTTTTAATATGGTTTGTCGTAAAAAGATAAAATTTGGCAACTTTTGAAGATATGCAACCACCTAAAGGTTATTACCTTGGAATTCACTGTTGTTCTGTGTCCCATTACTACTGGACCATTCTGTATAGTGTCCCAACAAAACTTAATTTTGAGCCGAAACTGAAATTCGGTCGCGGTTGTAGTTTCGGCCGAAACCGAAACACTTTCCGCATTTCCGATCTGCATAAATTTGACCTACTGCACTGAATAACTGTTCGCTAGGAACACTGGTAGGTGGCGAAGAGAGATATTTTAATCCAATTTTTCGCAAGATCGGAATTTCGGGCCAACATGAGTAGGTATATACCGGCATTCGACAGAAGTCTTGGTTCAAAAACATAGATTTAAGAGTTTTCTCAGTATATCTTCTGGTCTGCTCACGCTATAGTGTCAGAATACTCGGGTTGACTCGGCACGTGTTCTCACGAAACACGTGTGTCGAGTAAAATCGACGGTGATCCGAAGCTTTATGGGCATAGTTTCGGTTTCGGACAAGTTTCGGTCAAAATACAGCTGAAACCGAAACTTCGCCGAAATTCCTATTTTAGGCCGAAACCGAAATTTCGGTCGGAGACTAATTCTGTATAAGACATAACCTTACAAAACGCGCACCGTTTTCGCAAAACGATACAACCTCGATTTTGAAATGTTTCATTAATCGTAATGGTGCCTATGAAAACAAATTATAAGTAAAGCAGTAAGGCACCTGTCAAATTATTACCCAACATTTGTTAGTCGCTAATAGTTGTTTAAAATGGAAAATTACTTTTAGTGAGCAAACTGACTTGCTTAACGTTGGGAGTGTTTAGGCAGTGTTAACGCAGCGGCGAAATGATATTGCAAAAAATTTCCCAAGCGCAGACAACCTGACAAAAAAACATTTCTAAAAGTATAAAAATAACGAGAATCTGAGGTCAGTAGGTACACCAGAACAAAAAACATTTTGTGGCAGATCGTAGTACTACTAGTACTGTTGATATAAGAAGACATTTCGGAATATCCAATAGTACAGCTTGACACCACTTGCCTTGTACTTGACAGTACATGAATGAAAAATTACTGATCATCCGTTCCGAGTATAGTATGGCAAAACTGTACTATGATGGAAAAATGTACTATTGATGCTGCGTTTTTAGAAAAAATTTTTTTACTGATGACCATTAATTTGAAAAACATTGATAATTGGACTGAAGAAAATCCAGATTTTACGCTACGTTGAATAATAATTTGACAGATTGCTTCACTAACAATTTGTTTTCATGGACGCCTACTATTAATGACAGTATCTCAAAAACGAGGTTGTATCTTTTTGTGAATAACTCTAAAACGATGCGTCTAATCAAAAATTTCTAATTTCTAATCTAACTTCTAATTTAAAATGAAATGGGCTTTTAGAATCAGTTGAAAAATTTAAGGGTTTAGGGCATAATAAAAAAGTTTTAATGAAATAACCTTTGTGAACAGCCTGTATAGTATTAATCCTGTGGTTGCACATTTTCAGAATCTTTCTAAGTCAAACAATATTGAAAATATTTAAGAAAATGTTTAAAAATTACTTAACTTTAAAGGTCTATATCCTATTCCATTTATAGGTTTAGACCAAAAATTTTTGGATTTTAATTACGCATCCTTAAATGTTTTTCATAATTTGCCAACGTTAAAGCATTAGCGAAAGCTAAAATCTTTTTCGTGGTGATGGTCACGAACGAGCAACTCTAAGAGCACTTCCTTCAATTTGCGGTAGTAACAATTGTCCTCCCCAAAACGGACTATGTATGTTGTGGTGGATAAATTCGAGTCACAATATTATTGATGTCACGCCCAGGATTCATAGAGCACAGCAGAGCATGGTGTGAGAAGTAAAAGTTTGAAGAAAATGATAAAACATAGAAATATCAAGAAAACATAGAACCATATGAAATGATATTTGGAATCGCGCAAGCTTGCTTATAAACTATCAGGATTATTTTAGAATTTCTCTGTAATGGCATTCTTCAGCAAAATGCTGTCACAGCTTTGGTATTAGTTTATCTTATCCACTTAATAATTTATCTTATCCACATCGTCCATCCCACATAGTGCCAACATGGTAAAACTTATTTGAATGCGGAGACGCATTCAAATAACACACTCAAACTCATAAATGTTAGTGTCTATGGACATTTTAGTTGAAAAAATTAAATTAAAATTTAAGCCATGATATTTATTGATTAATTAGCATACATATCAACATTAAATAAATACACTACATGTAGACACTACCATTTCAAAAAAGATTGTGAAAAACAAAATGCTATTACTTTACAAAAATATCTGGTATTTTTCTTGGGAAATAACATAAATAAATGTGTGTAAAGAATTCTTTTTTCAACAACTGCAATAACTGTATGTTGTTACTTATTACTATTGACATATATGTTAATTACTAAACAAAGGGTACAACCTCTATACTTTGCATTAAATAAATGCCCTTTTCCTGAACAGATCGTCAGGGCACCGCTTTTTTATTTAAAGTACTTAATTAATTAACGTTTTAATTAAAACACTTTACCATTTCTTATATGCAGAAAGGTAGAGGCGTAAAAACACTAGTGCCTACATTTTCACTACACTACTTCAAACATCAATTATTTTCAGATGAAAAATATTGAAGAGAAAAAGAGAGTAACTCCCATAACAAAATAATTAAACCCAAAACCAAGCTTCTTATAAAATATTAATACCAAAAGTTAATCAAAAAAAAATTCTTAAATAATATAAAATTAATAATTACTATTTTTGAACAAAAAAAAAAGTAACAAGGCTGTAAATTAAGAATAACCTAACCGCTAATTAAACAGGATCATTTAAATATTCACGCGTAAAACTTTTTAAGATTGAAATTTCTCACATTGGCAATGTGAAAGTTTTGTAATCTTAATTAATTCTTTAACACGGACTTTTAATTCGATGTTTTTGAATCAACACTGTATAAAAAAAATTAATACAAAAAATAGTAATAAAAGCTAAACATTTTGCGCTTATTTTGTTACACGAGTTTATCTCACGGCTTTTTCCAGCCATAATACTGTTGTATATTAACATACAATATATTTATACACATACATATATGATAAGTATCAAATACATTCTCGAAAAAACCACTAATTCTATGCAAAGTATAGCTTGTATAATTAGATACCGTGCGATCCATCATCACTGCATTTTACTTTTATTTCGTCTAGGGCCAATTTTATTATTAAAAAATTTTATTATAAATTATAAAACTTGTTTACATAAAACATTAAACATTCAATCCATTAATAAAAGAATAAATTATATTATAAAACCGTCGTATTTTGATCATATTTTTTTTATTTTTAATTGATTGATTATATTTTTAATAAAAATTTGTAAATTTTTTAATAATCAAATTGGCCCTACCCTCATAAATGTGGTCCTTATTAGATTTAAATAAAACGGAAGAAAAACAATAAACGATTTTAATCAGATTATCCGAGACCTGTGATGTGACTGATGTTTGGAGTACACGCGAATATTTTTTTATCCAACAACTATTACCGTCATTGGATAAAATCGAAACGTTACCAAATACACGTTAACGCAGAAAACGCTTTCGACCGTTAAATTTTAAAAAGGTTAATTAATAAAAAGTTATTTTCCTTTTTTTTTGTGATCGAAAGTCGTTTCACGATATACGTTATTACCGTAAAAATTACTTCGTAAACTTTTCATTTTCTCGTCATTACACGTAGATACTCCAGAGCGCTTAAAGCAGCCGATGCTTGAGCATCTTTCGGTGTTTTTCCATTACCAAAACAAACAGCCAATGGAACCGTGGACAGTTGTAAGAGACACTGACAATGTCCGTTGACGGATTTTTCATCAATGTCAACATAGGTCGTTTCAAATTGTAATTCACCAGCTAATTCTTGTAAAAATAATGTGCTGTTGAATTCTTTTGAAACGAAGGAAACGGTCTAAAAACAGAAACAAAAGCGTATTAGAATAAGTTAATACAAAAATATTTCAATCAATACATAGATTAACTCTTGCTTTCTTGAATATGCAAGAATTTAAAAGCTGCATTACAATTTTTAAAGATTAGGCGAATCTATATAACTACTGTATCAAAAATGTAGAAATTCTTATTTTGCAACACAAAGATAATCGATGATTTTAATCATATTAGTATTTCAATACAGAAGAATATGTTTGATATATTTACCTGTAACTCATTTACTTTTGGGCCATTGGCATGTTTCAAATATTTATGAAACTGAGACACTTTATGTGAATGTCCTGAATTGTTAGACATAGTAGCAATTTTACTATCTTTCAAACTTCCAAATCGACCGGTCACGGAACCAATTCGCGTCCCCGACTATAAAGAAAATCAATATAAACTCGATAATATTAACAAACCGCAATAAAGCAACCCAAGGTAATTTTTACTTCTTTCAACTTTAATTAAAACGCACGTTTTCACTATTACTATTCACCAAACAATTTGGATTTGATAAAAAGAAACCACAAAGAAATTAATTAGTAATCACGAATCACGCACTCGATTTGAAAGATAGTAAAAATTTCCAAAGGCCAAATCTACATTGCAAGAGATAGTTCTTACAAAGCTAAATTAAAAGTCTTACCTCTTCCTCCTCTTGGAGCATTTGATTAACGTTTGCGTTATCCGCGGATAAATCTTGAAGTTGCTGCCACATTTTATGCGCGGCCATTCGCTTAGCGAGCTTTTTCGATTTTCCCGTTCCGATCTCACGAAACTTTAACACTTTACATGCAATTGTAAATTGACGTTCATGAGGTAGACCTTCTTCGTGTTCCATATCATAAGATGGAGGTGGCCAACGTCGGGACATGCACATTTCTTGTAACCATCCGATTGGATTTCCCATTATTTTATCATCAAATGGTGATACAACTTGACTTGTACTAAACAATTGTAAAAAATAAATTATATGTATGACATAATAAAGAATAATCATCAAAGTATTTGATACAATAATTTTGATACATGATAATAAATTAGAGACATTATGTGCTGAAAAGGAGCAAAAGGCAAAATCTGTACTGGATCAAACAATATAATTGTGACTACCAGCGTCTGGAAGATGCTACCTGACTAAAACTGGGTAATTATTCTTTATATATAAAACTTACTCAAATTTCTATATGACACTAATCAACTAACAACATTTGTAAAACACTTATTTTTTTGCCTTTTCCTTATACTTTCAAGAACATAATATTAAAATTTCAAAGTCGGATTACAAATAGTTTTAATATTATTTGTTACTATTAGATAGGAAGTGCCTTTCTCGGAAGTACACTATTTTTTAAAGATTTTTACCTGAAAAAGTAAAAAATAGACAAACTCGGCATTTCCAGTTTAGTTTAGATTTGCTATTATTAGATAATAAGTGCTTTTCTGGGAAATACTAAACTGTGTAATCGTAAAAAGTCAAACCCGAATTACCTGGTTAGTTCTTTCTAGAGAAATTTGTATCTAAATCAAAAAGGGACTCACGATGATCCGTAGATCAACGAGAAGGAAGAGGAGATTCTCAGGAAACCGATACACACAAGAGAAACCCACCGCTGATTGCAGCACAGCAGCAGAAAAATTATTGCGTACCGACAATGACGAAATTATACTTGATAACAGTCATGGGTATTGTATTATTCAGTTTGTGACTGTTTTCACAGCTATTAGCAATTTAGTCATATGTAAAAATTTTATTGTAAAAAAGACATAAAATTTAATGAAGTACTTAAGTCCACGGGGTTTAGGATTCAAAATTGCTGTAATGTGTGAGTGCGGTGACGAATAGTGTTTGTGATGCGATTTATAGGGGTTGGTTTGAATGGACTCAATATATTTGTGGCTTGATAGATCTTCTTAGAAAATTTAATAGCAATACCTTCGCTGGATGCTTCGAAAACTTTACTAAAAACTTACACATCCTGAAGAATATGAACAATGGCTCGAAGAGCATGACGATTGTGATGCGAATTATGAAGGATCCTCCGTCAAAATGGGGAGAATATGAAGATCTGTCAAAATCACGCGCAATAATTACAGAGGAAACAATACGAAAATGGTTCAAAGAATTGAACCACTTCTACTTACGTCTCTACTACTTACGTCTTCTACTTTCGATGTGATCTTTTTCCGCTAGAGCTGAGAGATTGGCTGTACATTTTGCAAACTGCGTTCAGAATCGATTAGAAAACAACATTGAGAGCCATTGGTTCGATTACCATGGAAGATTTAAATGCGACGTTGAAGGGACTTGAAATAGTGACAGTGGAAACATATGGTATACAGCCTGCTGAACCATTACATGTTCTTCTTCCAGTTACAAGGAAGTAGAGTTTAGGAATTATAAGTGTTTGTTCTGCTCCTAATTTTGTCATAAGAATTCAGTTAATTTCTTCAGTAGTGGGTAAGATTCCATTACTTTGTACATTTTTTTAAGTTGATTTGTTATGTTTATAGTTTTTGATTTAATAAATGAGCATATGTTTTTGTCAAGGCCAAATAAAAACACATTTAGTCCATATTTGGTCCTTTTGAACCATTTTTAGGATAATTTTAGTTTTATTTTGTCCTAGCATGAATCAATTCTAGACTACCAAAAGACCAAAAGGATGTTCTACCTATCTTAATTTAAAAAGATCAGTTTATTGTGCCTTTAGTTCTATTTTTTATTGGGTTTTCAAATTTGAAATATGTCTTAAGTGGTCGACCACTGGCGTGTTTATCCTATATAGTTTGATAATAGACAAATACATTCTTAAAGTATTAAAACATTCACTAAATTACTTGAAAAAAAGCCCAAAATCACTTAAATTCTTTAGCAATCACACTGGTATAATCTCTTAAAGGTGAAGCACATATGGAAAACCATATTAATTGATTAGAACAGATCTGATAATTGGTATGAAAATATTTGTCAGATTTGAGTTTCACTTCTATTCATTATATCTGCAATATTAAAAATAAATCACACCATAATATTTCCCCAAATTGTCTGTTAAAAACTACAACAAAACCTAATAATCCTGTTTTGGTGCAACAGTTCTGTAATTCAGAACAGTTCTAAACCTTTCAAAACATACACATATGTATGTTTGGAACTACTGTTAAACCAAAACAGGTCTAATAGTAATTGTAGTATAACAAGATGTAGCTGAAGATAACACTGTTAATTGTGCCAGTTGGTAAAGTTGCCCCAATTTATATTATTTCTTTTTATAGGTTATGATCACTTAGAAAATGAAATTGCTTAATAGAATTTGTTGATAGATACTTAAAAATATTTAAAATCTGTTATATTAATAAAATAATCTTACATGTCATTTGTAGGAGCATTGGTAGTTGGATTAGCTTGCTCTGGTGTGGTATCACCAACAATTAGATCCAAAAGATTTTTAGCAGCTGCATGTTTAGCTTCTTTTTTTGATCTTCCAGTACCGGTTGCAATGTAGTCATTGTTGAGGAATACTCTATATCGGAATATAGGCTCATGAATGGCTCCTTCGATTTGCACCAATTCGTATTTGGGAGTGATGCCACGACGGCTTAACACCTCTTGTAAAACTGAGACTGGAGTCTTTGTGGGTAACGAGGCCATTTCCTATGGAATGTAGATTGAAAAGTGCTAGTAAATAAAAAATGTTGATTTGTTTACCAATTTAGCTGCGTCTCCCAGTGTCATCTGACCGGACATAATTGCGTGAATTGTAGTTTTTTTGAAGTTCCTTCTCATGTGAAGATTTTGTTGTTGATTGGCCATTTGAAGAGCAAGCTCCATATTTGGCTTCAATTAATTTATTTTCTAAATTAAATAATAAAATTTGAAATTAATATTTAATATCAAATTAAGATATTTTCAAAATACACAAGATAAGAATATACAACACACAAATATTTTAGTCACAACTGATAATGAATACGTGTGACTATTTTTACTGGGTGAATAAACTAAACGAAAACATTTTTAACCGATGACAAATAATTACCTCAACGTATTTTCAACAAAAAAAGCCGGTTAAAATCAAAAACACTAACTTTAATATCATTACGACTACTTCTAATTTATACTAATTTAATAAGTAAATGCAAAACTTAATAAAACTATTACAAAATATATTGAAAAACATGCTCCTTTTGCTTGCACAAACCTTAGCATTATTTCGAATTCTTAGGCAAATCTCCAGCTGTGTTCCCATAATGGCTGAAATTGGATCCTAACCGAACTAAAACGTGTTCTACGCATCTCGAGCATGCGCATTTTTCATCCAACTCTCAAACGAATATCAATACAAACAACAAACAACGTCAATAAATAATTATTTATAAAAAAAACACGTGTTTAATGTTATATAACATACAAATTTAATCAAATAAACTTACGTTTTTGACTCACACAACTCCTTGCAAAAGTAATAATATCAACAATAAAAGGCAATGAAGTGTTTAAAATATCAAATATCTTGTTTTTAAACATTAGGCCTGTTTTGGTTCACGAGTTCTGCAGTTTCGAACAATTTTGAACCTTTCTGCTCATACATTTAATATATTGCATATTAAATGTATGAGCAGAAAGTATATTTATAAACAGGGTATTAGGTTATTAAAACAATGAAACATCTAAATAATAGACCTGTTTTGGTTCAAGAGTTCTGCAGTTTCGAACAGTTTTTAATCATTCTGCGCATATATTTAATATGCAATATGTGTGCGCAGAAAGTACATATATCTATAAACAAGGGATAAAGTTATTAATAGTATATTATTATATGCGAGTAGAATACTATACTTTGTCCACGACTATTGAAATTGATTCCATAAATTTATTTTTTAAATAAATTTTTAAATAAAGTTTAAACGTCAATGTGACACAAATTCAATGTTACTAACTGTAACCAACTTCACAACAATTTGTCAAAATTTTATAAAACGTCGTTTTCTTTACGAAAATTAATTAATTTATGCTTAAATCATACGAAAAAAGAAATTTGTTTAGGTTTTTTTAATGTCATACATTTAGAAACTCCTAAAAAATTCAATTAAATTGATGTTTTTTGAAATTTTGACGTTTAAAATAATTATTAGTCTGTCAAGTTGGTTACTCGTGAATAATGATTGTTATTCACCGCTATTATTCACTCCGTGAAAAATGACTACCCTTTTATTTTAAAAAAATCATTCATAAGGTATATATTATAAGGTAGTCGTGGACAAAACATATTAAAACATCTAAATAATAACTTGTTTTGGTTCAAGAATTCTGCAGTTTTGAACAGTTTTGAACCTTTCTGCGCATACATTTAATATGCAATAACTCTTGAAGAAACTGTAGAACTCTTGAACCAAAACAATTTAGATGTTTTATTATGTTTTAATAACATAATACCCTTGTTTATAGATATACTTGTATAACTTTGAGTTTCCTATCAATATTCAGCAACCAAATATACATGTTGTCTTAATATTGGTAAAAACATTAAAATTTTTGGACAAACACATTTTGGCAATAATAAATTCATTTTTTTCGTTATTATCTTATTAAAAACAACATTACTTAATTGTAATTGTTATTAATTTCAACTTAACTTTTTATTACTTTTTAAATTTCAACAAACATTTTGGGTTGCATACTTCATCCACCAATAGGTACCATTTAAATTGACGTTTATATTCCCATTGGCGAAAAATATTCCGATCAAATCCATCGTCTTCTTCCACAAGAACCGTAAGGAAGTGCTTCCTATTCACAACGTGTTTCGTATAAAACAATTCATTTTGTGAATCAACTAATCTATAACACGAGTGAAGTGAATTGCTTCCAGTTAGATTCTTATTACTTCCGGTTATTTAAGCGATTAAAGAAAATAACGACGTGTATTCAACCCCATAGTTTTCAGCTACTGTAAGGTAACCACATTATTCTTGCGTTTAATTGTAATAGAATGTTTATTTATAACAATTATTAGTGAAAATGGAAGAATCTCGCACATATAACCGAACTAATTTTCGTTCAAGTCGTGGAAGAAACAACTTTGGCAACAATTATAATTCAGGAAGGGAGTATCCAAAAAATAATGATAATGTAACGATTATGGTTCCTTCAAGATGTACTGGAAGGCTTATTGGTAAGATAAATATCCGCACTGCTAAGTCAAAATGTCATAAACGACATTTACTTGATCTATTAAAACAGGCATTTCCGCAAACTTTAAATTAATATTGTAGCGATTGAAGTTTGTTTTCAGTTATGTTGCTTTAACTTTTGGAGGCAGATTTAAAAATCTTGTTGGTGTAGCTAAGTAAAAAGTGACCATTTCTAGCAATGATATATGTTTTAAATGAAACAGTTGTTATTTGTTGTGGTGTTACTAGGAAGTTTTTGATTATAGCTGCAAATAAACTTTATTATTTTTTCTTTTAATGTTATAAAGAAAAAATTAAGAAATAAATCATATCTTTTCTGTAATTATTAATCTACTGAATGCTTGGGTAGTCACACAAAATCTGAAATTATCTTGTTTCAAATAATTTTAGTTGGTAAAACATTATAAAAATGCTTATTTGTTATATTGAAGATGAATTGGTATATAAAAACCATTACATTGTCCGCATTATTTACTGCATTGTATTATATTTTCAGTAAAAGTATAACAACATCATTGAATTGAATGTGTTTGGGGAGTCTGGGGCGTACAATTTGTAGTTAGTCAATTAAGTTACTGTATTTTGTGTTTGTTTTTGGTTCATAAAAAATAGAGTAAGAAATATGAGAAAATCACAACACATTTATCGTTTTCAAAACCAAGCCACTGCATTGCAGAGTCTTGCAACTGATTTTCTGAAGAATGGGTGGAGTTATTGAAGATCAATAAAAACTTTATTTTGCGTTTGTACCACTTGAAACTTAGGGAGGTAGACGTTCAATTCAATTAAGTTTGAACAATGTTCTAGAATGTACAATTTTTAGTGTCTTTCTTCTTACTTTAGTCTAACATAGTCAAAATCTTGATAATACTATTATTGATGATAACACAGCCAATATTTTATGATCTTGATCTTATGTGCTTCTCTTTAAAAAGGGGAAAGAATTTTTTTTATAAATTTTAGTATACTCTTTCTCTTCTTTGCCTTTTCGCTTATACTTTACAGCATCATGTCTTCGATCCATTTTTGGTAAATTCATCACAGAATCATAATAAAAAATTTATCTTTAAAGGTATACTAAAAAATATCTGCAAAAAGTTATCAAGTTACCCCGTTTTATGGTACTCTTTTCTGTTTAGCGCTTCTTTACTTCCTTAATGTTGCTTCCCCTGTGTTGAATTGTACTCCTGATGCTGTCCAACTACTTCGTTCTTGGTCTCTCCTTTCCCCTCTTCCCTTCTCCTTTTACATCCATCATACTCTTTGGAAGTTTAATCATCCATACACATCACATGCCTGCACCACTCTAACTGTCTGTTCTGTATAGTTGTCACCAAAGGATTTATCCCTGGTTCATCTGTTGTGATGTGTATTTTTAACTCTATGCCTTCTGGTCCTACCTATTATCCGCCTTATGTACCTCATTTCTGCAGCTGTTACTTTGCTTTTGTGTTTAGCAGTATATACTGCTTTGTACAGGTGCATCTTTGTTTCTTTACTCAGTTCTTTTTTATTTATCAACGTTGTGCTATTCTGGTAATACACTTGTGTTGTTTTAGACGTTCTGTTTCTGATTTTATGACCTATTCCCGTCATTGCTCATCACTACCGCCAGGAGCCTTCTTCCTCGTTGCCGCTTTTTTTGCTAATCTTCATTATTTTACTTTTCTTTGCGTTTATTTTCATTCCTGTAGTTTGTACTTTGATATCTATTTGTTGGCTGCGGCTTGCAACTTCCTGACTGTGTTTGACTTCACAAGTGCAAATCTGTGCACTTCTGATAAAAATATTGAGTTTAAGTTGAAAATACATCGATTAAAACTTTTTTTCATAGGTTCTACTTTTTTGTTATCGTGAAAAAGTCAATATAAAGAAGAGTCCAGCTTATGATCGAAATGCCATGTGTTTCCATTGAGTTGTAAATTCTTTTTACTTCTGCCTTCTTCCGTAGATGTAGACTTTGGCCTAAATTTTGTACATAATAATAATAATAATACCATAATATAATACTAATATAGATGGCCAAAACAGAAAGCAAGAAGCTTTGGAGACAAGGCTAATTTTTAAAGTTCCTCAAGAATAAACAACTGCAGCACTCTGGGACTACACTACTAGTAGATAATTGGAATCCCTCTAGTATGCTGCATCCAGTACTCATCGTAGTTCCAGGATACATTTTCAGGTTCTTGAGAAAATATGCTTCTTCATCAGTTTTACTCTCATCTATATGCTGTCAATTCATCATTTTGTTTTGCGTCCAATACTTTTTCAGGTAATTTGTCGAATTTTGATCTCATGTCTCAAGAAGTCGTCTTGTTTCCGCTGTATAATAATCGTTGATTTGTATATTCTTGTTTTTGAGGTTCGATTGATATGTTTGTTATTCCAAATCAGTTGGTTGAGGCATCCCACCATTTTGTTTGCTTTTGTGCCCTTTTTGTCGAGATTCCTTTTCTACTATAACCTATTATATTTATACCCAGATACTGAAATTTTATTTGTTGCTCTGTTAATTGACCATCGATTTCTATCTTGTATTTGTGGGATTCCTTACATGTGGTCAAATATTTTCTTTTTGTTTGCGGATATTTCGATGTTATATTTCTTCCCTGTTGTGTTAAAAATTTGTGTAAGTCAAAATTTATTTAAAGAAGTAAGTAGGAAGTAAATTTGTTTAATTATTAAAATAGGTCGTGGAGGATCAAAAATCTCAGAATTACAACGTAACAGTAATGCAAAGATTATAATAAGTAGAGATGATATTGATGGGGAAAGAAGTGTGTCTTTAATCGGGGATGATTCTGCTATTGAAAAGGCTAAATCTTTAATTTATGAGATTGTTAATTCTACTGATCAGCGACCGCAAAGGAATTTTAGAGAAACGAGAGAATATAGTCCCGTTAGAAAATTTTCCCCCCCACCTCCCCAAAATGTTCCTAATGAGGTGCCAATGATGAGGACATCTTATGTTAGATCGACTGTTGTAACCCCTTCTGTTACAACTGCTCCTGAACCAGTAAATTGGGATGAATTAAGAGAGGAAGCTGTATGTATTTTAATATGTGTTATTTAAAAAAAAAATAAAAAAATTATGTATAGGACCGTTATCAAAAAGAAAAATTAGCACAAATGACTCCAATAAAAAAATGTTTCTACGAGGAATTACCGGAAGTAAGAGACATGTCTGAAAATGAAGTAAAAGAATTTCGCATAAATAGAAACAACATTTGCGTTGCTCGTACTTTTGAGGATCCGTCTGGAAAATCAAAACCGATTCCAAATCCAGTAAAAACATTCCACCAAGCATTCCATAACTATCCAGAAATTTTACATGAAATTGAAAAAGCTGGTTTTACCACTCCTTCTCCTATTCAATCGCAAGCCTGGCCGATTATGTTGAGCGGTGAAGATATGATAGGAATCGCTCAAACCGGTACTGGAAAAACGTTAGCCTTTTTATTGCCTGGTTTAATTCACATAAACGGTCAAATCACACCGATAGAAGAACGCAATGGGCCCACGGTTTTGATTCTAGCTCCAACTCGAGAATTGGCCTTGCAAATTGAGCGCGAAGTTAAGAAATATTATTACAAGGGATTTAAATCGTATGTAAAAAGATAATGTTTAATTCAAAAATTCTGACTGCTTTAGGAAATCGTCGATGTGGACTGTTAAATAATCGTCACATGTTCAATTTACGAGTACGTGTCAGAAGTTTTGAATTGTAATTGAAGTTCTTGTTGAAAAAATTAACGCAAATTTTTAGTGTTTGCGTTTATGGTGGTGGGGATCGCCGCGAACAAATTAAAATAATAAAGGAGGGTGTTGATATTGTCATTGCCACACCTGGACGATTAAATGACTTAGTTGAAGCTAAGATTTTGAATGTGGAAGAAGTTAGTTATGCTGTATTAGATGAAGCGGATCGAATGCTGGATATGGGTTTTGAACCACAAATTCGTAAGGTTATGTATCAAGTTCGAAAAGATCGACAAACATGTATGACTAGGTAATTTTAATTATTTAATAAAGAAAAAAATCTAAACATTAAAGTTTTTTTAAGCGCAACTTGGCCCGCTGGCGTTCGACGTTTAGCTCAATCGTATATGGTAAATCCAATTCAAGTTTATGTTGGTTCATTAGAATTAGCTGCCGTTCATAGCGTTACACAAACAATTGTTATGATACCTGATGATCCGAATGAAAAGTTTCAGAGGGTAAGAAATCGGTCTTAATTTTTTGTACTTTATTTTTTGGGTTAGTTTTTAGAGTTTTGCCAAAATCTCCAACCAAATCAAAAAGCAATCGTATTTTGCGGTAAAAAACTTACTGCTGATCAAGTATCATCTGAACTTGCCATGGCTGGTATTGACTATCAAGTAATTCATGGAGGAATTGAACAGTCAGATCGCGAACAAGCCATATTAGATATTTCAGATGGAACTGTTAATATACTTATAGCTACTGATGTAGCATCACGTGGTATTGACATAGACGATATTACGTATGTTAAAATACTTATTAAGTTTGATTTAAAGTTAAAATATTTTTTTTAGTCATGTCTTAAATTATGATTTCCCGCATAATATTGAAGAGTACGTTCATAGAGTTGGTCGCACTGGAAGGGCAGGTCGTACAGGTGATTCTATAAGTTTCTTTACAAGGGGCGATTGGGCTCAAGCGGAGGAGTTGATTAAGATTCTTGAAGAAGCTGGTCAGTACGTTCCTGAAGAATTATCTGATATGTGCGCGAGGTTTACTCAGTGGAAGAAACGCAAGGAAGAACAAGGAACTTATAGAGGACAACGATCTCGTTGGTAGATTCTAGGTTAAAAAGAATCTATTTATTTCTTTAGAATGTAGCTAATTTCATTTTAATTGTTTAATAATAAGTATTATTTGCTCTTCAGAAAATAAATTATTTGTTTTATTTCTTAGTTAGTGATTTCCACACTTAAATATCCTTTATATTATGTCTACACTACATAGAAAACTGGGTGTTTTACCTAAACTCTACATATTCATCAATGTTGTCTTTGAAAAAAATGCTCGGAATTTCATCGTAGCATTACTACGATAAATAGGGATCCAAAAAATTGGTGCTTTTTAATGACGCTGTGCATTGAAACTCTCACTTTATGATTGCACGTTCCAGGAAATATTAATGTAGTATGATTTGACGCTTTTGGGCAAGGTAATTGTATAAAGTAAACATATGTTTCTAGTTTGCGCTAAACAATTGGCAGTGAAAATGAAAACTCAATAACTTTTTATGTGTGTTCTGTTGGAATTGACAACAACAAGATATCATTTAATTTATTAGTCTTGACAACTTAAAGAAAGTGTGTTCAGAAAAAATTGTAATTTGGTATCTTTTTTTCATTTAGGTACCAGTCAAAATCTGATACTTTTTTCAATTCAATTTTGATCCGCAACAATCTTCCTTGCTTTACAACGCAAGCTATTTTGAAAACCAATCTTCCTTATTTTTTTCTCTTTATGTTAATTAAAATATTTGTCCATAAATAGTTGCTAAATAAAAAAAATGACTCAGATAAAAGTTATTTGTTTTTTAAAAACACTTATTAATAAATGGTAGGCCATTTAAACTAACGATAAGTTATTTTGGTACTTGAAGTACATTAAAGATGCTTCGAAATGTAATCTCTGATCTTACTTTATATTTTTTTCGTCTTACGACTAAAATTTTATACTGAAAATTTGTTCAATAAAATAAATGGTTTCTAAGTTATTTGGTTATTTAAGTTAAATGCCTTACCTAGTTATTATTTTTAGTTCAAAAATGTTTATTTATGAAAAAAAAAATCATTCCAATTAAAATTCTGGTTTTTTCCATCATACATTATTCATATCAGTGAACATAGTGGTGGACTATGTAGACAATGTTATGCAGATTATGTGTAGATAACGTCTATTGCTACGTCATCTTTGTTTACGTATAATTAAAAAATAATGTATTATATTTTATTTTTAATTTTGTAATGAATTTAAAACAAAAATCATTAATCTTAATTAAATCTTATCATGTTATAAGGTCCTTAGACAAGCACTTTTTTGAGCAGTTTTGATCTTATTGTTTTGATGATTCATGCGCATTATCGTAAACAGCACTGTATATGTATAGTTTAAAAAAGTTATAGTACAATTGGCAATGCGTGCTAGAGCTAAGAAATATTGTGTCAGATCAAATATGTTTACCAAGGTGGACGGTAAATGATCTGCAAAATGTTGGATGAGGGTATAGATGTTACTTAATACCCGGTAGGTTAGGTAAAGTCTACTTCGTTTACTTAGTCGCAGCAGCTGCGATCTCTACTTTTAAAGATATCTTCTTGATGATGAAATAAAATTCAAAAGATATTTATGATGAATCACTTCGTTCTATTGCTTTTACATACTGTATGTTTCATAATAGTGTAATAATGGGATATGCATTTTATCACAATATTATCAACGAACATATCATGCCTGGAATTAAAGTGTTTCTTTCCCAGTTGATAATTATGCAATCAAATTTTGATGATATATCTTACATCCATATATGATGAAAAACAACTACCGATATGCAAAAAAAATTGAATTATCTTTTATGTGAAGCACATCGAACGTTCGAGAATTGATTACATTGTACGCTCATGGGCAGTACGATTAGCAAATATTCTTAATACAAGAAGATTTCTTCCACAACAGCATTCTATAAAAATCCCACAATAAATTTCTGTTTTAAATATTTAAGGCATGATAATGGTAACTGTACTAATTGAAGCAATATGTCCTTACCCAAATGGGCAAGTTATAGCTGTTGCAGTCATTTACTTTGCATGCAGTGCTGATGTGATCTCCATAAAAATGCGTCATGAACCTAATATTTTTATATGTTTGATGGCAGTTCTTATTCGATTGTAAAGCTTCTTTAAATACAACCATTTCTCGAAAACAGTTTTTCATATCCTTAAAAATAGGTTCAAAAGGCATTAATAATATGATTAATGATATAAAAAAATTCATAGATCGGCTAGTGACTATAAAGCAACGAAAAGTGGTATAACTGCGCTTGCTGCAGAAACGCTTGGTGACCAAATAATGAATTGGTTGTTAATAAATTCAAAACCCCATGGCTATGTTGGCCCTATTTAAAGAAATAAATACCAAAAATCACCGTTAAAAAAAAATAAGTAAAAAGATTAATATAATAAAAGATGAATGTTATGTGTTTTGCCCAAGAATACGACTTCTTTATGGTAGCCTTTATATCACGGGAAAATTTTGATACTTAAGGATCAAATGATGATGAATCACTTTCTATTATAGATGCAACAAAAAAGTCACAATTTTAAGATTGTGTTAAACATGTCGAATTATCGTATAACGAAATTAAACAATCAACCTAAGCTAATTATTGCTTAGTGTAGTAAGGGAAGATAATCCTGATCTTAATATGGAACATGCTTTCGGATTTCAAGAGATATTAATAAATGTTTATTTCAATATGAGAAGGAGAAATGATGACCAAATACAAAATCTGAAGCCATCTAATGCTGGCGTTCGAGCGCCAAGGAAGAGTTATCTTCGTGTATATTGGCTATCAATAAGAAAATAATCCGTTCATTTTGGCAAAATTTTGAAATATTGGGAAGATAAAAAGATGAAACATCGACTTCAGCCTAGAAGTCGATGTTTCTTTTCATCAACTTGGACTGTTTTTTTTGGTACTAGTAGTGGTTGACTTGATTGTTACACTTTCCTTTCCAAGTACGCAATATTATCATTTCTACCCACCACCTCGCCAGTTTTTTCCTATGAGTTCTCTCTTACATGGTAAGCTTTGTTGTTCTTTCAGGATTGCTTGTTACTGCTCTAACTAAGTTTTTCGTTTTCTTCTTGGGAAACTTTGATTAACATGTGCCATTAATTTGTATTACAACATGTCGCTCAAGATAAGCACAGTTTGATAACAGAACATGTCTTGAATGTATACAACGATCTTATCACATCGTTAAGAGTAAGTAATACATTAAAATAACTAAGTATGGAGTTTGAATATCACGTTAGAAATTCAAGAACATATTCCCAAGAGCCATAAATAATCAAAATTTGTCATAAAGAAAAAGAAAACAAATTATTAAATAAGATTTTAGATATTTCTTCGGAATAACGGAGTTGGTATCTACTTTTGATAGTGCTAGTAGTAAAAGATTGTAATGTTTTGGCTGCAAGCGACATAGATTACAAGTTCTTTCTCTCGACAGGTTGAACATAAATTTCTCGACCTTAATTTACAAATAACTAATTTTTAAATCGATCATTATAGTTTATAATTTTTTGAAATACCTACATATATTGTCAAATGTTTGTTCGTATTTTGTTCAAAAATTCTTTATTAAATATATGTTATAAAGATTTGAAACGGCAAATTTGATTTTCTTTGGCGTCACCATAAATCCCTTACCTGTCCAAATACTTTTTTTACATATCAGTTAATTCTAATTGATAAAAAAATTGTTTACATTGTTAAAAATGCGCGCTTTGAAAGAAAAACCAACGTTCCCTAAACACATAACCAGGCATGAAGGCACTGTTCAGTTGCGTACAGTACGCCGGTAGCATCGGACGGTTTCCGCCAGATTTTCACGCCAATTCGTCGCGTCTCAAACACGTTCTCCGATTTTTGTTGTCGGGTGATCGACCGTTATTTAAAACTAAAAACGCGATGCCTCACCAAGTTTATTATCTCATCCAGCGGCCCGCGTAAAATTATGTGCAGTGTTTACATTTTTGCAACATAACTAAGGTGAGTAAAGCGTCATGAAAATTTTCCTTCCACATAAACACACAATGTTTGTAGATGTAAACTTACTTGTTAAATGACCATTATTAAATTTATTGACCACCAAGCGCGGTATGAACCGAAAGTGATCTCATTCTATTCACGCGAGATCGAAACATGAATGTTGAGAAAGAGTTTGCGTAATCGGTAAAAAGTTACGTGATCACCTCGCATAAATGCTCTCAAGACATTTTTTTCTTTTCGATATTATTACTAATCATTATGCGTTATTTCGATTACCTTTAATTGCGCGATTTGCTTATTGTCAAGGTTGTAATAAAAAACGTATTGTAAGTATGTATTTTTAGAGTATTATAGACGCTCAACCACCTGTTACGTTGTACACCAACGAATAATTACCTCCTTGGGAAATTGTTTTAGTCATTATTTGTAATTTAGAAAACAACTTGTGGTTTTTGAATGTGAAAAAACTAATAATTTCAGTGTGCTAATGTTATCAAATTTAAACCAATACAAAAATTGTCTATAATTTCATTTTAAAATTATTATAAATTTTTTTAAAGAATATTGGAGACTGAATACAAATCATTTCTCTTTGGATCTGCAAGGGCTAACTTCCATAATAAATATGTTCAGATTAAAAACTGAAAAGAAACCTTAACGGATATGCCCTAAAAACGTCAAATTGATAAACAAACTTAAAAAAATCACTACGAGGTTATTTATGGGGGCAAAGCAACGAATTTTGAAGTGAAATTAAAAAGAATTTTACTTCTTTAAAATAATGCGAAGTATGAAACAAGTTTTATAACAACAATGTTGAGACAAAAATTAAATGAAATTTAAACTTGTGCGAGCATATACACACGTAAACAAAACTAAAATATCTCAATGAGTTTATTATTTGCATATGAATGGCTACTAAATTATTGAATTTTAAGTTTAAATTATAATGTTTGTAAAATAAGCTTTAATAATTAATTAACGGTATTAACGTTAATTAATAACGTGAAATTGTATATTTTATATTTTGTGCAACTAAACAATATAATTCCCAAAGTAACAGTTATGGATTTACATTCGGATAAACTATGTTATGTTGTCCAGAACAATTTACAGTACCTTAAAGTGTTTCAGTGCTATTATTTCTACCTACATAAATTATCTGTCGTAGATATAAACATAAAGTCAGTATAAGTTTTTTTTACACTAGTGATATACTTTATTAAAGCGGGCGATAAAGGATGTTAAATGCTATGAAAAATGTTATTTGATAGGATTGATATTATCATTGATATTAATTAAATGTTTATTCAAATGAGTATGTCCCATTCCAGATTTTATACTTTTGAAACTAATCTTTGTTATCCGATAATTGAATTTGTTCTGAACTCAACACTTGATGTGAATACAAAGCCTCAACAGTTTTTACCTTTCTAATATAGCCCGAATTTCGATTCTTTCGCCATTAAATTAATAGCAACTTCCAACCTAGTACAAAAAATGACTTCAAGAACCATCCACAATATATTGCCTGTACTAATACGGAATACTCTAAAACTCACAGAAATTTGATAGTTATGCAACCTCACAGGTTATACTAGTACGCTTATATGCTTTCTCCTAGAAAGATTAATATCGATGGAGCCTTCCAAAGTTGAGATTTCGCCTACAAAATTCATTGAATTTAACATGGTGTGTTCCAAAACTTACCTACCACTCAGAAGCAAACCAGGAGTTACTGCATTTAAATGCCCAATGTATTGAGAGCCTCTCGAAGCAATTGCTTTACAGCAAACATACATGTAAAATGTTTCAAATATCATACTTGATAAATGAAGAAATAATTAAATTATGTTAAATCAAAATTGCCTTAAGTAGTACCTTTTATTAGTACTAAACAAAAATGTGGAGAGATAGTTTAACTTTTGTTATATTTGCTACAATTTTGTGATAGACCTCAAGGTATGTTTTTGATATTTACTGCGGCTGTTTGTATCTCATCTGGTTGTGATAAATCGCATTAAATTCAATTAGTCTGTCTAATTTTGAGTACCATGCATGGTAAAGCATAGATTTTGTTGATGGTTAAATCTGATAACAGATATCGAGAGGCATTATAATGGGGTAGAATTGTTTCCACATCTTGGAAACATATTGGTGTGCGAAATAACATTATAACCCCTTCCTTTTTTAATTTTGTTGGATGTTGCCTCATTGATTTTTTCTACAATTGCTACAGCCGCTTGTATACTCTGCAGTTCATAAGAAAAACTTACTTTACTAAACTATGTGTTGTTTTCATTCATTTAGCAAGTAATTTACGGTTTAATTGTAAGTTGATTTTGTTGGGTTACACTGCTTCTGGGTTATCTAGAGTATCTAAAGTTTGTGTTGAAGTATGGTTTGCTAAACTTTGTTTTTAATTGTTCATGCCTTAAATCTTAAACTGTGAAAACTTTTCTTTATCATATCTATACCTTAAACCAAAACACGGTAATATGCAGTCAAACTTGGAGAGTTTAACTGAAACTCGAAGAAGAGGAGCATAAATAACAACAAGATATTCACGCTTCTAGATATATCGTCGTGGTACGTATCCTACCTGCATACAAAGTAGGACACGTTAGCAAATGTATAAGTTTGCCGCTGTTGCGCCACTTGCATGAAAGATGCATTGAACGGTATATGGGGATTACTTTGGCGATGAACGATGATTGTGAATGGGTTTGATTGACCGTATGTTGATAGTGAGAAAGAATAATATTTACGTTGTTTAGTCAACAGAAATTTTTTTCTATTCAACTTCGTATTTAAAATTCATTACATATGCTAATTAAATATAAAATAATTCGTGTTTGGTGTAAACACTATTTTTAAAATATGCGTAACAAAATTTTCCTATTTTTTGTTATGGTTTATGTTACGTAAATCTGACCAAACAAGAATTATATTGCGAGCGCTTGTTTGACATGACGCTTTAATTCTTAGCATTTGGCCTAGTTATGAAATTGCCAACAGGTGGGATTTATATGGTTTTGTGCTTGTTAAAGCTCAAAGCTTGTACGTAAGAGTCTAACAACGTATCCACGATGCAGGTTCTTATAAATTATTTATCAAACATTGTTATAAACGATCTAAAGTGAGTAGAATTAATGAAGCGTCATATGAGTATGTGCTGGAAATGATAAATAACACTAATTCAATTAAATTATATTCTAAAAAAATAAAAATTAATTACATCAGAACGAAGGCGACCTTAATAATATCATATGTATATGTTTATGAAAGTTCCAGTTTAATTTAAAACCATTTTAACGGTTGTTCTAAATATTGCATCATAGACAGGAGAGTTATTAAATTCTTTCATTTTAATATTCTTGTTTACTATATAAATAATAATTAATTATTTCTAATTATACATTCTTTAGAAATAAGTCACTTGTTATGAAAACAATAAAATCAATTAAGTCGCTTCAGTTTCGTTGCTTTTGCAAATATTATGATTAATTAATAAACATAAATCCAAAACTTCCCGACACTGGAACTTCGTTGTCTTAATCCATCAGACGTTTCACGCTTGAAAATGATATACGCTTGGCTCGTATTTACTGTTTGCGTTAGACTAGAGATTCGAAATACTACCCAACTCGTTGGTCCCATCCCGTTTAGTGCCGATTTAATCCTAAACCGATCGTATAAATCCGGGGAAATTCATCCATCGAATGTTCAAAACTTCGCATAGAGTGTGGCTTATGGTGACGAGGTAGCAGCGCGAGATCAGGAAAAACAGCCCATAAATAACATTTTATTACGGGACCACTTTTCATTTTAACGCACCGACGCTTAAATTGTGCAAGTGCTTGAAGCGATACGAGGGGCGGTTTATGTGTTCAGAAACAAAATTTGTGCATGGATAAAATTTAATATTAAAGTTTAAAGGATATGGTGTAAAGTTAATGTTTTGTGAAAATATTTTAGTAAACAATACATTATTTATAATGTTATATATATTTTTAATTGGATATCCACGTGTATTGTAGAATAAAGAGATAATTAACGGTTTTGGCACGAGATGAATATATTTATAAGGTGCAAATTAATATCAGACTTAAAACTACGCACAGGAATAGATTGGATTTAATATGGTTTAAGATGCCAAGTAGTTGTCATTATTTATTAAGCGGGTATCTTTTGCCAATTATAATAACAGTATATTTCAAAAGAAATTTTAAAAATATGTTACTATATCTTCCTTTTTTATCACCAAAAGTTAACTTCAGGTTCAGCGTGAGTATTTATTAATTTATGTACAAAGTTTGGATAAGCAAAAAGACTAATTTTCTACTTTCTCGAAATATGCCATATATTATACGGCGTATAAAGAAATTTTCCTAAAGTTTTTAAAACATTTTGTATTTACTTGGTCCTCCTTGAGATTCCATAACTCCACGAAAGCATCGTGATATTAATGTAACTAAATTGATTAATGCAAATTTTAATGTTTAAGATTAATTAGTACCGAATTGTACACTGTTAATTAAACATAAATTTAAGTTTTGTACATAAATCACCTCAGAGTCCAATGAGGTGGTGTATTGAATTAAATGTCCGCTTAATGTAGCTAATATAACTTGATAATGTTTGCGCTGTATTTAGGATTGTTAACTTGCTGGAAAATGTAGCGATCTACAAATCCTAACTCAAACAGTGATGGCTTTAAACGTTCAAATATGCTTTTGTCGGATGCTGCTATAGCTGCTCAAATCATAATACCAACCATCATTTCTAAAGATGTTGTACTTTGATTCGTCAGTGAACAAAATCATAGAGCAGAAATTTAATTTGTAAGGTTGGTTTGGACTAATATTAAAAATTTCGGCAATCATTTTTCAAATTGCAGCAGAAATTGCTGTCTGGTTGGGTTTTAGTATTATTTGATGAATGTTTGTTATGTGGTTATGGAACAAATTTGTGGTTCACTTTTTTGTAAGGATTTCTAA